AGCACTCCACCCGTCTTCTCTTCGTGCCATCCACCTATTGAATGGTCCCATGGAATTTTCCACGTTCTGCTCTGATGATCATTCTCCCCATGCTTTCTATGTGGCAGTGGTCAGCTCAGGGCTCCCCAGTCTCAGTTCAATGTCTTCTGAGGCTGGCTCATTCTTTATTGTGGGGCCCTCCTGTGTACTGGTGGGTGTTGGGCAGTGTCCCGGCCTCCACCCACCAGATGCCAGGAGCACCTTCCCCCCAACCAAGTCATGACAACTAAAAATGTCCCCAGCCATTGCAGTGTCCCCTGGGACATAATCACCCACCACCTCGAGTATAACTCTGTGCCTTACCCATTGGCTTCCTGTGAACTGGTGGCTAGACCTGGAGGTGGATTTCGTAAGCCACTTCCTGTTGCCTCACCCTCAAAGGCTCTTCTCCATGGGGAGACATAAGGGGATTCTGGCCTTCTCAAGTTCCTCCTCATCTTTGCCCCATCTTACAGGAGAGGGTTCTTAGGTCAGCATTTGTGCCGCCTCCTATGGACTGCCCGGTCCCCTGACCATCACCACACTGCACCCTCCCTGTTTTCTTCCATACTGATCACCATCTCTACTATACAGCTTCTTCATTCAGGTGACGCCCCCCCCCCACCTGCCCCCCAGACAGAGAGCTGCCAGAGTGCCAAGTGGCCACAGGGCGCAGATGCCCCTGCCCCATTGCATTGAGGCCAGGCTGAAGCTTGGCACCAGCATCCATGCTTGTCCTAAGAAGCTCCCACCTTCATCCCCATGTGTGGGCTATTGGGAGATGGCACTCTGCTGTGCAGAATCTGAGAGGGCCAGTGTGGTGGCTAGGCTTCCTGAGGGCCCCTCCATGCCTGCTACTGAGGAGACACTGCACTGTACAGCTCAGACCCAGGGGTGTGTAATCTCTGAGCCTGCGGTGGGAATGATGTGACCCCTGGAGGGCGTGAGGAGACTTAGGGCATTGCTGTGATGTTTCTTCAAGTGCAGCTCACTCCGGTACCAGTGTGATAGGTGTGGAGGCAGCAGTGCTGTGCCCAGGGGTTTTGAGGGAAGTCACGTTACCCAATGACTTGCTAATTGCGGTCTGGGAGCTAACCCAGAAGCTGCTGAGGAAATGGACATTGCCTGGGCCAGTTTGTCAGACCCTCCTGGCCTCAGGACGCCACCTTCTGTGCTGCTGTGTAGACGAGGTGACAGCAATAGGGCCTCCCTAACTTTGCGATCTGTCGGCCCCTACAGGGAGCAGCCAGCCAGGTGATGGCCATGTTCCCATGGGGAGCCCCTGCACTGCCAAGGTGGCCTGACTGCTGGGGTCCCAGCCAGGCTGGGTGAGCCTGGGGCAGCGCTGGTCCCGCCATGAAGGAACCTCCAATTCGGGCTCTGGCTGACACTCAGAAGATGCTGTTGGTGCCATACCACCTTCTGGGGGGCCCACGAGCACGGGGTAATCCCTGCAGCCCTGACACCACCATTGCCTTTCATTTGCACCATGCCTTCTCACGTTTAGTGCTGTGTGTCCAAATCCTGTACTTCATTGTTATCTATGCCTCAGACCATCGGTGATCTTTCGCAGAAATGTAACTTACTCTTTTATATTCACACACATGTTCACCATGCCCAGTGCTCTTCATCCTTTGAAAGACTCACATGACATGTCCATCTGGTGTCATTCTCCCTCTTCCTGAAGAACTCCCAGAACCTTTGTTGCAATGCACATCTGCTGCACACAAACTCTCTTGGCCTTTGCCTGTCAGGACAAGTCTCTTTTTCACTTTCTCTTTTCTCTGGATGTAGACTTCTAGGTAGGCAGTATTCGCTCTCAGCCCTTTAAAGATGTCCCTGTTATTGTTAATGGCTATAGACAAGTGGCCTGTGGGAGTCACCCACATGTGTATGTGACAGTAGGAGTGACCTGCTCTGTTGTTGATGAGAAGGGCCTGGTCCTCCTGCTGGAGGGAGGAGACACCAGGCAGGCCCATGTGGCCAGGAATCTGGCTCTACAATGACAGCCAGGCTGCTTGGGGATATGCACTTGAGGCCAGCCCTCCTGGCATTGTGGGGAAAGTCGGGGCTTTCAGGCTCTTGACTGACTTCTCCATAAAATGTCTCATTCTCAGGGCCTTTGGGGAATGAGTGACCTTGCAGGAAAGGAGTCTTCCAGGTAATTTCTTAGACAGCTCACAAGCTGTTTAAATGCTTCACTACATGGCCCACAGGGAGCTTGTGGTCCACCACAGCAGTGCATGCGAGTCCTGGGGCTGCCCTGATGGAGTTCCTTCCAGGGAGATGCACCCTTCCTAGTTCCTCTCCCTCGTTACCCTAAATCTGGCCTTGCCTTATCATCATTGTCATGGCCCCTGACCCCAAGCTCCTGAAGCACAGGCCGTGCTGTGTGTGGATGGCAGACATGTACGGTGCTCAGGTTAGCCCTGGCTGACACTTGTGTGAAGGTCTGGGCCCAGAGACCTTAGGGCGCAAGAGCCAAGCCCCACATGCCCTCTGCTGCTGCGGTGTAAAAATCTCTGCTCCAGCCTTGCACCTGCTGTTCCCTCTGCCAGGAACACCCTTCCTTCCTGGCTTCGATGGTCAGGTGTTGGCAGAGAGCTTGTAATGATGACAGGCAGGGCCGCTTTGCCTCAGCATTGCCTGTGCTGAGTGTTCTGGTGTCTTCCACTGCTTCCCTTCCACCCACATTATAGCACTCTTGCATTAAACATGGTTGACAGACAGGAATCTCTCCCTGCCTGTTTAGGAATCCTCTGTGTGTTCCTGTGATGGTGCTCAAAGCCCCCAAGTCTTCAGAAAAGATCTACTGTGTGCCTGAGGGACGGTCACAGCATTACTGAGGTATCATTTACAGCACGTAGGTGTGCAGTCAGTGAATGGTAACACTCCCCCGGGCTCAGACACACACTGATCTGCTTTCTGTCTCTAGTTTTTGCCATTTCTGGAAACATAAATGGACTCACACAACACATGGTGTCATATGTTGGCACCTCTCACGTAGCCAAGACGCCTCGAGGTTCGTCCAGGTTGTGGCCATCAGGAGTTGTTTTTTGTTTTGTTTTTTTCCTGGACAGTATTCTCTTGTTTTTGTCTCCCAAGTGCTGGATAGCTGGATTGTTACCGCTGTCTAGATACTAAGAGTAATTCTGCTGTGTACATGTATGTATAAGTTCTCTTGTAAGCGTATCTTTTCATTTCTTTTGGCTAATTCCTAGAAGTGGAATTGCTGGGTCATGTGCTAACTCTGTGTTTAACCTTTTAAAGAACTGCCAGACTGATTTCCACAGTGGCTACATTGTGTAGGCTCCCACCAGCCACCAACGAGGGTCCTGGGTCCTGGGCTGTCGTCAGTCTTTCCGGTTCTAGCCATTCTGATAGGTGTGCAATCTGTACTTCATTGGTGGGTAATGGCTCTGAGCAGCTTCTCTCCTGCTCATTGGACATCTGCATGTCTTCTTTTCATCTCTTTTTAACTGAATTTTAAGCAAAGGCTGGTTAGATGTTGTGTCTCCAAGGGCCTTGCCAAGCCGGGACCCCCATGGGTGCTGTGCTTCCCATTCTCTGACTGGCAGCCCAGGTGGTTGTCAAGTCATCATGTCAGCTGGGTCTGAGTCTGCTTTGGAGGGAGCCTGGCCCCTGTCTCAGCAGCACCATAGCCTCTGTGCCTGTGGGGGCTGGTTCCCAGTCCCGGAGCAGGACAAGGGGCTGGAGGATATCCCTTTCTGCCTGCCTGGCCGTGTGAGGGATGTGTTTGGAAATGGGTTTCTGGAGTGTCCGATCCCATGGGAGCAAGTGCTGGTACATAGAGTGACCCCTCAGGTTTGCTCCAGATGGCAGTGTCCTTTAAGATTTTTCGCAAGAAGGGGCTCCTGGTAAGCAAAGGGGGTACATGGGCGGCCTTTGGTCCAAGTTGGCTGAGCTGTGTCACCCTCACACCCAGACTCATGGACTCTGAGAGGCTGACCACCTCTCAAGTTCCGGCCTGCCCCTTGGTTGGTTCTCCCCATGAGTGTAGAGCCAGTCCACTACTCAGAGTTACTCCACTTCCCCAGGGCCTGCTGTAGTGCCTGACATTCTGGGTGGAGACTGACAGTAAGCCACTCTGGGAGGGTCTGGGGGGGCAGGGTCAGTGGGGGAGCCCCCCTCACTCTAGGGGGCCTGGGAGGCTGGAGTGGTGGATTCAATAATGGAGGTGGAGAGAGCCCAGTCCCCAGCTGCCATGCAGGGGAGGCTGGGGTGGGGGCAGGAGGGCAGGCTGACACGGGGGTGAGTTTGGGGCCTGATGGAGGGGGTCATGATGACAACTCAGGACCGCACTGTGGGGCAGTGTCTGCTACACAAAAGGTGGGCACTCTGGGCACAAGATAGGTGAGAAGGGGAGGTACAGCCCTCCATCTGGATTCACATTTTTAAAAAAATTCTACCAGAAGGCTGATCTCTGAATAGCTGAAACTTAAAGTATTTATTTTGAGTTTTATACTATATATTTTTTATGACATTTGGAAATTCTTCTGCCACCCCAAGCGCAGTTAGAAACTGCTCTGATGCTGTGACATCCGAGCTGGATAGGCATTGGGCTCCGTCCTGCCAGTGATTGGGGGCCAGAGTTACCTCATCAGTCTGCGTCTTTGCCGGTGGTGCTCACCTACCCTGATTTCCATTTGGAAGGAATGTCTGTGAGGCACGGTGGCCTGGGCTGATGTTGGTTTTGAGAGAATGGTGAGGGGCTGCCCCCTGCCTGTGTCTCCACTTTTGCCACTTCTGTACCCTCAGCCCCGGCCCCCGTGCCATCCAGCGAACTCCTATTGATCCATCAAAACAGTGCCCTGATGACCTTTCCTGTAGTTTCAGATGTGTATGTTTTCTCTCACCTTGCCTGAACGCATCATCCTTTTCCTGCTCCTTAGATAACTGAAAACAAGTCTCTGGATTTCCAGATTGTTCATTGACATTTTCCTATTTTGCTTTTTTTGTAGGATTCTGTTTCACTGAGACCATCAATTCGATTTCAAGGAAGCCAAGGGGTGAGTCGTTTTTGTGTTACTCATATTTGGAATTGTGGGATTGGGGTAGTCCGGGCCTATTGTGGCTCACTGGGCACAGTAGCAGTTGGGTGCAGTGTGTGGCCTCATCGACTTCCATGCCAGGCCAGTCCCCATGCCAGGCCAAGCTCTGCCTCTGGATTCACCCAGGGTCTCTCCCTTCCTTCCTGTAGCCAATTCATACCTAGTTCTGAGACCCCCCAACCCCTGTTCTGACCTGATCTCTGAGCTGATTCAAAGTTGTGGCCCCAGGGCCCAAGCTCTGTCCCCCCTGGCGTGGGACAATCATCTCCCTCTGTGGACCCAGGACCGTGGGTGTTTGGTTTTTGGTACTGGGTCAGGGCGGCAGGGAGGGGGTTATAGAAACTCAGCACCCCCATTTTTTTCTTGAAATGTACTTCCTTTTAAATGACCATGTTACAGAAAAATCAGGGAATGAAAGAAAGGGTGAGTTAGTCACAGTCCTTGCCCCCCTTTCTTAGCACCTCCCCTGTCCCCCCCACCCACCAAATGCCCCTTGGAACACTTTAGTTTTTCTTTTAGTCTTTATTGCAAGTCTTATATTTTTATCTGAAGAGTTACCACATGTGTCTTAAGTCAGCTTTCACCTGACAGCCGGCTGGCTCCTTACAAAACCAGGGAGATCTGAGAGTTTCGCTCAGCCAGGATGCTCCAGAGAGGAAGCGTCTAGGAGATGCATGGCTCTGCATGCGCTATGCGTGTCTGTGTGTGCAGACACAGAGATACCAAGATGTGCTTGTGCTGCAGTCACAAGGGGATTTCTTCCTCCTCAGGGAGACTCAGTTCCCCTCCTAAGGCCTTTAGCTGATTGGATGAGGCCTATCCAGACCATCGAGGGTCCTCTCCTTTACTTAAAGTCAGCTAGTTTTGGACATCACTGTATTTACACAACACCTCTAGCAACACCCAGATTACCGCTTATGGTGTTACCAGGCTGCAGTCTGGTCAGGGTACACAGAGACTGACCATCATACCAATACCAGTCAGGGCTGCCGAGATGCCCCGAAAGGCCCAAGGTGCGCCCCCGTGTCTCCATCAGCCCCATCGGAGTCTTGTGGTCACCCTTTTGCCACCTCCCCTTTATCTTCCCTGGGACATTTCCCCAGGGGTTGGAGGTCCACGTTGGGGGGGCGGGGCTGGCCTGGGCTTGCTGCCAGACTGGCCCCATGACGCCCTCTGGTGGCCACGGTCACCCAGTGCCCTCAGCAGCTGTGGGAAGATGCAGTGGTGCACAGAAAGGTCCATCATGGTCATTTCTCAGCAAGACCCCACATGGCCACTCACAGATGTGCTGTGAACTTCTCCTGGGCTGTGCCCCACGGCCCCTGAATTCCTGTGGAAAGCCTTAGAGCCACATCCATTCCAGATGTGGGGTCCTACCACCTTAGTTTTAGAATCATGCTTTGTCTGCTTTTTCTTCCTCCTGAGCTTTCTTAGGCATATGGAGTTTCTAGAAGGCTCTGGCACAGAGGCACTGTACTGCAGCTCCAGGCAGGCCAGACCATGATTCTTCTCCAGAAGTCTTTTCCCTGTGTGAGACCGTGTGAGGGCTGGAGGGGCGGTTTGGCAAGCGGTGCACTGTCTTCTCCAACTTGCTACGTAGGGTCAGCTCTGGGTCTGCCCCTGTGATATCTGGACCTCCTCCTCCTCCTCCTTCTGGGCATTGATGGGATGCTCCCTCTCCCCACTACCAGGTCTGAAGGGCCTGGTCTGGTGCCAGGCTGTTTGTGCACGGTCACTCAGACCGGCGGAGAGGAGGCATGGCGCCTAGTTCTCCCCTTCCACTTCTCCTGGTCTCTCCACTACGTGTGCAAAGCTGGGCCTGAGTGTTCCTGAGAGGAGCTTTGCTCTGTGCACTCTACCTGCAGGGTTAGAGATGGAGCAGGAGGCCAGCAGGGCAGGACAGAACAGGCTCAGTAGGGGATGACAGGGAACCGCTCCCCAGAGGCCCATGAAGCTGATGGAGCGAAGATTGAGACCCTATCTGTATGTAGGCTTCTTAGCTTGAGGATCTTGACCAATTCTCCTTCGGTCTTTCGGCATCCTTACTTACCACCAGATGGGGACCTTGTCCATTTAGAGAGTTGTGTGCAAGTAAATGAGGCCTTAGGAGAACCAGTGTACTCTGCAGTCCAGAATGAGCTCACTCGGCTCCTGCTGCATGTTCCCCTTAGATGTGAATGTAGTGCAACTGGCATAAAGTTATGGCGTCATGCACTTCCTGGGTGGGTGTGGGATCCATCCCGGCCACCGCCCAGCCTAAGCTGGGAGTGCCACAGAGCTGGGGTGTGAAGGTGTGCAGCTGGTCCCAGTTTTGGCTGGTTCCTTGTGCATATCTGTGGCACTCGCCACATTCCCTGGAGAGCCTGGCCATACCTGAGTACATCTGGTCTGCCAGAGCAAAACGCTCACCTGTCCATTTGTCAGATACACATTTGCATCTGTGTTCTCTGAGCTCACAGGGGCACTGAGCTGGCTGACTGGCCCTTCGACTGTCAGGAGGTGACTTCTGAGTTATTAACCCCTGACAGCTGGTGAAGCACCCCCATCTGGCCAGCCCCCCCAGAACTCTTCAGCTGATGAAAAAAGGAGAGGTAGGGTTTCGTCCAGGGTATTCAGGGCCTCAGCATTTCCCTAGGCTGTGGTGGGAGCCCAAGCTGCAGTTTATAGAACGAGGTCTGGCAGCACTGGTCACAGGCCTTTTGGCTGTTGTCTGTGTGTCTAGGAACCAAGTCTTCAGGAGCAGTTAGGATGTGCTCAAGATTGAACCACAAGGTGCTTGTTGCTGTGTTATTGGTATCAGGGACAATTTGGAAACATCTTTAAAAATCTCTAATGGGGTTTCCTAGTCCAGAGCCATCATGCACCAAGTTCAGCAGCTAAGACCCCTGGAGCAGTGTTGGGGGAGGTGCTGAGCATTGCTCTTCTGAGCCCATGGAGTATGAAGAGAAGAAGAAAGGGCTCAGAAAGGGCCCTGGATGTGGGGTTAGGGAAGTGAGGCCTCCGCCAGGCTGGCAGAGGAGGCTGTGTTGCTCCTGGAAGGTGTGTTAGGTACAGTAGTATAATAACTCTCTGCCCAGAATGATTCTCCAGGAATTGAAAATGATGAAGAAAATTGACGATCCCTGAAACCCCTCTGGCCAGAGAGGACCTGCCTGGTCAGTGGTGTTTGGGTCTTGTATGCACCTGTTTCCTCTTTTTACCTGAAGGGGACATCCACAGTGTCACCCGCACCCCCAACAGTGTCGCCCCCAACCCCACCTGGAACTCAGTTTATCTCTAGAGCTCCCACCTGCACTGTCTACGTGGTTTCACATACCTGGGGAAAGGCAGTGGCCAACCTGGGATGGATTTCAAAGGGAGGCCCAGGTGAAAGTCCTCTGGCCGGGACCCGATGCAACCACCGAGAAGCCAGCACCCACTGCGGGCTTCAGGCCTCAGAGGCACTCAGGCCTTCTGGAATGGGACTAGTTGAGCATGTTTACTGCTGTGGTCCATCTGTCACACAGACGTGGTCCCCCCCCCCCATAACCTGGTGTCATGACTGGCATCAGACGCACCCAAACCTGGTGCACTCGAGCCAGCTGAGTGCCATATGGTGGCCCCAGGTGCAGGGGCAGCTGAGACTCGGTCCAGAGGGCACATGCATGGCCACTGCATTTCAGGCCACGTCCTGGAATACATCCCAAGCTATCCTCTGGCACAGAGACAACTGCGCATTCCTGGACCATTCCTGCCCAGCTGGCTGGTTTTCCTGGTGGTTCCCAGAGACTGGGAACCATTAACCAGCAGTAAAATAGCCCATTAACCAGAGGATTCCACAGCACTGGTGCTACAGAGTCACAGAGGGGCGGGGACTTCAAGAACCTGCCATGCTGGGCTCCCAGCAAACCCCCCCGCCACCCCCCAGGTGTCCCAAGGACACCGACCACAAGTGTCCCCCCTGTGTGTGTCTTCTGTCACTAGCAGCACCAGGTTCTCCTGAGCATTGGTTTCAAGCCATGTCACCCACCGTCCTACACAGACTGGCCTCTGGGCTCTGTACTAGGCTCTCCCCACCCTCAGGATGAATTTAGGAAGTGGACATATATGCCTGGGTGGAAAATGTCCACACAGGGTGAAAGGGTCACAGTGAAGCGTCCCCCACCCTGTCCATGGGGAGGCGTGATATCTGCTCCCTGTGCAGGCTCAGATAGGGCATCTGCAGCGTGGTCAGTGGGCCTCGGTGCACATGGTCTGGTTCCACCATCAGCTCTGCCGGGCTGCAGGGGCATCCTGGAGCTGTCACGGGTGGGATTCCTGCACCCCTGTGTCCTCTGGCAGGCATCCCCTCGTCTTGATCTGATGTGTTCAGGCCTGTCATGGCTCTGACTGCACAGTTCAGGAGTTCTGTTTTGCAACTGGAGCTGGGGTGCATCCTCTTCGTCTGCCTTCTCCGGGTGGGGTCTTTCTGCCTCATGGCTGCATGGGCTGGTGGGAGTGAGGGGTGCCCAGGGCCATGAACACCTTGGGACTCAGGCAAGATCCCCTTCCCCTCCTCTTAGTGTTGACAGCCTAATGGGGACCGGTGCCCTCGGCAGCCGTTGCCTCTGAACTGAGATGGAAAGATACTGTATGGGGAGACCATGTCCCTGCCAGGCCAGGACATGGTGAGGGAGAGGATCAGGGTAGGTGAGGAGGAGCCACCCACGTCAGGCTCAGGTTCACTAGAAGCTCCTTTTCGTTTTGCTGACTGGTGCATGGGCTTCCTGCCATATTCTGGGCAGCTACTCAGTATGCATCCAGCTTCGGGTATGCCTCCCCATGGCCCTCAGAAGCTTTGTTCATGGCCACAGGGCAGTGAGTGGACGGACACTCAGGTGGAGTCTGTATCTGCATGGAGGAGGTAGAGGGGAGTGGTCGCTTAACGGGAGCGAGAGTCAGATCATTTTGGCAGCCCAGCATGCCCTGATGGCTGCAAATGCCCGTCCTGTGTCATTTCATCTTTGAGGGTGTCCCAGGCCAGATCTGCCCCGTTTGGTGGGTGCAGAAACTGAGTCAGCCCAGATTCAGGTGGGGTCCCTAGCTCTGAGCACATATTGAGCTCTCTGTGCTCCTTGGACTGCAGTGCCATGCCTTACCCCTGCCGTGGGAACCAAGGACCCAGAGCATTGCTGGGGGCAGGTGACGGGGACCGGCCACAGGTCCTGTCACTGCCAGCAAAGCAGAGGTGCATTTAGAATGACAGTGCTAGCATGTTCTTGCTGTAAGGGTCTTGCTGCATGGACAGGCGGGGTCCAGCAGCTGGCCTGTCCTGCGGTCCCCTCCGTGCTGCAGAACCCCCGGTGACATCCCCCCTCTCCATACAGCACATCTCCATCCCCCAGCCCGACTGCCCCTCAGAGGCTCGGACCTTCTCCTTCTACCTCTCCAACATCGGCCGCGACAGCCCCCAGGGCAGTTTCGACTGCATTCAGCAGTACGTCTCCAGGTGAGGCCCAGAGGAACAACCCCACCTCTCCAACCTCCACCTGGGGCCCGCCCCCAGCCTGGCACACTGCAGATGTTTGCCCACCACCTCTGGCCCAGTGCCCCCTTCTCTCAGATGAGCCCTTCTGGCTCCTTTCAGTATGGGTGTAGATCCTGGTGTGTTGCCTCAGGCCCTGGGGCCTGTGTCTCCTTGTTTCTTCTGGGTCAAGATGGCTCTAGTCAGTGCTGACCCCTGTTTTCCAGCAGGGTTAGGGGGTGCGGGCCCCAAGACCATGTCTCCCATCTCCCAGGTGTTCATTTTGGCTCCTGACACCTTGTCTTACAGCCATGGGGACATCCACCTGGACTGCCTGGGTAGCATCCAGGACAAAATCACAGTGTGTGCCACCGATGACTCGTACCAGAAGGCACGGCAAAGCATGGCACAGGCTGAGGAGGAGACTCGGAGCCGCGGAGCCATCGTCATCAAGCCTGGAGGCCGCTATCTGGGTAAGTATGGGGGCACGGGACTCCACCCTTGGGGGATTCCACCTGTACAGGTATCATGCCTACTGAGCAACTGTTGGGGGAGCAGGAGGCATTCAGGGCCCATCCAGCAGGGAGCAGGAGTGATGAGTGACAGAGGTGTGGCCCCCACGCAGGACCAGCCAGGACCATGTCGAGTCAGGAAGATGGTTCTGCTGTGTCAGTTAGGGGCTATTCCATCTGCTGCCTCCGAATCCCCAGGTGGACTCAGGGTTTGAGAACTGGAGGAACTTGAATCTGTAACCCCTCTCCCAGGCCACGGCCTCATGGACCCTTACCTGTCAGGGATGCAAACATGCTCCATGAATGCAGTGTTGCTGTCTGTCCTCTGGCCACCACCCCTTGCCCTCACCTGCCCAGCTGACTCCTTCCCAAGGCCAATGTGACCGGCATGGTGCAGACCACCAGATGCACCCCCACGATGGTCTGCTGTTGTGTTAGGGCTGGCGAGGGACCACCAGCTGGAGACGTGAAAGGAAAGGCGTTGATCCCTGCTCGCTCAGAAGGCTCCAGCAGCTCAGCATCTACTCAGAAATAATTTTGGTGAAATTGAGACACGAACAATGCTAAAACTGGGGAGAAAAGCACAGTTTATTCAGTAAGCTTCATCATCCAGCTGCAGCCTTCCCACCTCCTGGATCCAGAGAGAATTGAAGAGTCATCAGAATTCATTGCCAGGGAAAGAGGGGGATTAGGGCAGAGAGACGTGACCCCGCTTACTGCAAGTGAGCCTCTTGATGGCTTTGTGGGGTTTTTCTTTTTCAGGAGGAGAGAGGAAGATTTAAGATCCCCCAAAGAAAGCCTGTGGCTTCCCTTGCTTGACAGTGGGGTTGGCCCTGAATGAAACCCCAGACGTCGGTGCAGGGCCCAGTGGATGTGGCCATGCTGCCCAGGGAGCCTAGGCCCTGGGCCATGAGCCTCCTGCCACTGGGGCCAGAATCCAAAAGTGTTTCACTCATTTGCTCTCACCTCAAGATGCAAACATGAACATCCATACACATCTTAATAATTTTCTGGGGGTTTTGGCCAAAAAATTTGTCTTATTGGATCACTTTGGGTACAGTGGTGGTTTTTGCAATGGTTTACGTTCTGATGGAAACATCTCCTGGCCTCTTAAAACTCACCTGGGGACAGCTCACTGTCAGGCCTCTCCCCACCCTGTGTTGGCTCATCAGCCGGGTCCTCTTGGGACCAAGTCAGGCCCTAAGGATTCAAAAAGCACTTCCTTCTTTGTTAATCTGACAAATCAGATTTGGTTGGGATAAGCGCAAAAAGAAGTCATCGTGGAGAGTTTTTGGCCTGAGGATTTGAGGCATGCGCTGACCTCATTCAGCCATCCACATTCCCTCAGTGGCATGGGCGCTGTCCAGGATGAAGTTAACAACTTCCTCCCTCGAGAGCCATGCTCACTGGCTCAATGAAGGCATTACTGTACTGCCCCCATAGTCTGTACAGGGAGGGTGGGGAGCTGCCCTCTGCCCCCAGGGCTTTAGGCAACATGCCACCACATCTGCCCGAGGAGGGAACCCCTTGGGGCTTAAGCTGGGGAGCTGCTAGCACCTTTGGGTCTCCACAGCAATTGCCAAGTTGACCATGACACCTTTATTCCCTGCTTTTTCTTAAAAGAATAACAGATCCCTTAGGGCCAGCGTAAGGCTGTTGATGTGCTGGCACTTGGGTCATCTGCCTCTGGCGGTTCAGTGACTGCCCCCACTTTTAACATCAAATGGGTTCATAGATCATCCCCTTCTCCCTGTGGTGGTCCATGTTTTTGGCCCCCAGGATTTAGGTTGCCCAAGATGAAGTCAGTTAATGGCCCTAAACATGCTTCTGTAATACTTCCTGAGATTACCACTTCTGAGCCTGCAGGTGCCCAGTGAGCTGTGTGTGGTCAGCAGGTGGCGCTCTCGGCCACCCAGGGTCTCCACCAAGCAGGCCTGGTGGACATGCTCGCCTTTCGGGTGTGGTGCTGTTGGCCATTTCTTTCCATGCTCAGGAACTCAGTGTTGGCCCCAGGCAGTGGGACATCATGGCCTCCCCCTCAACTCCTCCAATCCTTAATACCCTGGTTCTTGTTGCAGGCAAGAAGGTTCAGTTTCGGAAACCAGCGCCAGGGGCGACAGATGCTGTGCCCTCCCGGAAGCGGGCGACCCCCATCAACCTGGCAAGTGCCATCAAGAAGAGTGGTGTTAGCGGGGGTGGTGGGGTGTCTCATAGGCCCTTTCGTGACCGGGTGCTGCACCTTCTGGCGCTGAGGCCCTACCGGAAGGCCGAACTGCTGCTGCGGCTACAGAAGGATGGCCTGACGCAGGCGGACAAGGACACGCTGGACAGCCTCCTCCAGCAGGTGTGTGCTTGCCCAGGGTTGGGCTGGGGTGGGGTGCGGTAGGGTCCAGCCAGCTTGTGAGCAGCTTTTGTAGATGGTCTGTACACACAGTGGGCTGGGAGTGTGGCATTTACTGTCTGAGGGCCTGGGGTTCAGCTCAGAACAAGGCCAGCACCACACTCCTTGCCATCTGCTAATATGTAGGCAGTGGGCACTGCACAGGGGATCTAAGACTTCAGTTGCACAAGGCTTTTAGAATTGAGTGAAACCTGGGGAACCTACATGCATAAATTAGTGAGAGCTTGGGCTTGGCAGTCAGGAGGGCCTCCCTGCCTCTCACCGGCTACAACTCCAGGCAGGGGCCTTCACTTCTGGACCCTCCAGCTTCCAACTATGACTGGGGAGTGACTGCAGCACCTCTTGTGGGGCCAAGGGCTTAGCCAGCAGAAAGGTGGTGCTAGCAGGTGGAGTCTGCTGTTAAGAAACAGCCTGGGCTTTGGACCAAGAGTGGTGAGCCTAGAGCCACCTTCCTGAGGCCCTGCCCTGGATCCCAGGGCTCCAAGAGACAGCAGGAGAACCCCTGGTAAGTGAGTGGCTTGCTCTGTTCACCACATCAGCCGGGCCATGTGGATGCTGCTTTGCTGTGCTGCTCTGAGGACAGTTCTGCCAGCACCCTGAGGAGGAGGTGTGGCTGAGCCTCTTCCGATTCCCCTCTGATGCCTCACTTGCCCTTCCTGCTTCCCGCCTCCGACACTCCCAGCACTGGGCCAGCACCTCCTGTGGCAGAAAGCCTACACCGAGATGGTAGCTGTATCTGAGGATGAATTTCTGTATTTGCCGAGTTCTTCAGTGGTCCTCTTGGTGCTCGTATTCACTGTCCTCAGTGCAGCCTGAGGCCAGTGTGAACCACATAGCACGTTTGGTAGGAAGATGCCGGCACCTGTTCTCCGGCTGCCATCCCTCATTACCCTTATCCCGCAGAGAGTTCGTGGCAAAGAGCAGGGGTGGGGAGAAGAGGCCTCTGCAACCTTCGCCTGTAGAAAAGATGGAGCTGCATTCCATGCACAGTTGTAGATCTGGGCTGGGGCCCAGGACCAACCATAGATGTGGGGGGCCCATGGGCAGGTGCCTCCCCACCCCTCACCTCAGGAGATATCTCCTGTGTCCTGGGGGCTTTGGTGCTAGCTGACATCTCACATCACCAGGACTTCGGGGGCTCCGTGTCTACTTGCTAGACACCTCTGTGCAGATTTGGCCTCCTGAGCCACTGTCCCCAGTTCATGGCAAGGACCAAGAAGCAGTGTTTTTCTCCCTGAGAGTTCAGGCATTGGCTAGGAGCCTACTAAAAGATAGCTTTGTGGCCCAGAAGTTTTCTTTGGCAAAGGGGCTTGCCAAAGCATCCAGAAAGCTCCAGAAGCAGGAACAACTTTCCCAGGGGGGCTCATTTCCTTGGAAAGGCACATGTGTCAGCCTTGTCCCTGGGAATTTAAGGGAAGCACATGGAAGGCCCTTCCCCTGGATTGGGCGCCCCCAGAGCTTTCTTCTGTAGCGTGGGGAGACTGAGGTAGGGCTGAGGGAGCGTTATGGAGTTGTCAGATATGAGTCGGGACTAAAGACACAGGTGGGACCCACACCCTCCCCTGGATGTGCCTGCAGCCCGCACTGCTGTCTGGCTGGGCCGCAGCCTCTGGTGTGGCATTCTTTGGAATGCCCTCGCTCCCACCCTTCCGTCTTGTCCTGTTTGTGCCCAGAGGAAGAAACACACAGGTCTCTCAAACGCAGAATATGCTGACCGAGCACACAGTTACACCCAAGGTTTACCCTCAGAGCAGCCCTCAGACACTGCGGAACACCAGGCCCCATTTTCTGAAGAGACAAGGGTCTGGGGGTGCTGATGTGGACCTTTTTGGAGCACTTGCTCTGTTTCTAACCCCGAGATGCTCTCGTTGCTCCAGGCCCTCCCGGGACCGGAGAGGCACAATACTGGGCTTTGGCTTCTCTATTTAGCTTGGGTTGGCAGTCTTCCAGGGACGGCCCAGCTGGCATCTGTGGGCAGAGTGGCCTCCCTGTGCCCACTCTGATTTCTCTTGAATGGCCCCGTCTGCCTTGTGCATCTATGTTCATTGCCTGGCTAGTTCTCTCCAGTAATTGTGAGGGGAGGCAGGGCCCTGTCAGCTTGGAAAAGGGGAAGGTCTAGGAATCCCGTGGGCTGCACCTCACCCAGGCTGGTCATTTCCAGTCTCTCCAAGCAATCAGGGACTCTGATGAGCAGCACTGATGAAATTGTGCTCCTCAAAGGTGCCTTCTCTTTTCTTTCTGTGAAAACATTTAAAACAGAGACTTAAGACATCTGTCTCCAATGCCAGCTGGACCTCAGAGAAAACCAGAGGCTCATCTTCATGAGTAGGAATGTTGATGGGTGGGTGACTTTTCTGGAGAGCATTTGAACAAAACATATCAAAAGCCATAAAAACATTCAGAGCCTTTGACCCACGATCCCCCTCCTGGGAAGCTGGCTGAAGAAAACCATTGCCAGTTTGGAAAAGCCTGTGACGTCTGTTTATGCTACAGAGAAACTGGAAACACATCAGCATCCAACAAAGGAGAAATATTTGAATAAATCACAGTATGGCCACTTGAAATATTACTCAACCTTTAAAAATGCTTGCTGTGGAAAACTGTGACGTGGCATCCTCTTAGAACCCAGCAATAGGGAAAAAACAGCAACACACAGCTGCACATGCATGTGCAGGATACCAGGGTGCCCAGCAGGACACTCCTGGAAGTGCCCGCTTCTGGGCAGTGGTCTTCACAACTTCAAACACCCTTAATGCGATGTTTTAAATCCATCTTTGCAAACTGTCTTGGAGACCAGCTCAACCTCTGTTAACCAATGGAGAAGAGCTGGCTGGTGCATGGGGCACAGTGTGGCCTCTGGAGTTGCCCCCAACCTTGGCCTACTCTGCTTCAGGAGCTGCAAATCCAAGAGAGGGTGTCTGTCGGGCTGCTGTAACAGAATCCTATGGGACTGGGCAGCTCAAACAACAGACATTCTCAACAGTTCTGGAGTCTGAAAGTCCAAGCAAGATCAAGGTGTCAACAGATTGGGTGGCTGATGAGGAGGGCCCCCTTCCTGATTCACAGGCAACATCTTCTCATTGTGTCGTCACATGGTGGGAGAGGCAAGGGAGCTCTCTGGAGCCTCTTTTATGAGGAGACTAACCCCATTCATGAGGGCTACAGTCTCATGACCTAATCACCTCCCAAAGGCCTCACCTCCAAATACTATCATGTTGGGAGTTAAGATTTAACATGAATTTTTGGGGAGGACACACATTCAGTCCATAGCGGGGGCGGGGGGAGGCTGGTAATGAGTTCATAGATGTCAGCCCCCCTTTTGGGAGCCAGTCTGACCCAGTGCAACTGTAAGATGTGTGTGTCTGGATCTGGTGCAGGGGAACTGGGCATGGGGTACTGTCCTCTTCCCTTTTAGGTCTGTCGGTCTTCCTCCATGTCTCCTCTCTCTTCTGCTTCCCACAAGGCGACGCTAGCTCTTTGTTGCAGGTGGCCAATATGAATGCCAAGGATGGCACATGCACGCTGAAGGACTGTGTGTACAAGGATGTGCAGAAGGACTGGCCTGGCTATTCGGAGGGGGACCAGCAGCTGCTAAAGCGCATGCTCGTCCGGTAAGACTGCCTCCCCTGGGCTCGGGGCAGATCTCATCCCCAGGATGCTGGGTTGGCCTTGCTTGATCCCAAAGGCCTCCAGGCTGAGAGCAGGGTGGAAAGGTCCATGGGGACTCCCTGACCATCTTCCCCACTACGTCCGCCTCCTGTCAGGAGAAAGGCCAGCCACCCTTGCATGGGTTGGAGGGTGTGCATCACTATTGCGAACACCAGAGTGCCGGGCAGAGGCCTCAGTCCACCCAGACTGTTTCCACTGACCCTCCCCTTTCCAAAGCGTCTGCCCAGAACTTGCATGTCCCCAAGGACTTCTGCTGCCAGAGCCTCCTTCTTAGAATGGTTCCTTCAAGAAAGGGAAGGAGTGAAAGCAAAACAAAGCTCCCCATCAACATGGCTCAGTAGTGTTAATTAAATGCATTCCCTCTGGGGTTAATTGGGACCAGAGGTCAGGAGCCGCCTAGGGGACTCTGAGAGGACTGTGTAAGCTTCCTGGCTTGGCCAGTAATGCTTCTCCATTGATGCCTGGCCTAGGAACCAGCCATCACTAACTAGTCCTTAACGTGATTTCTCGGACTTGGAGCTCTTTATCAGGGTTTGGTTTTGTTTTTTAAGTTCAGCTGTTTAAAGCAGTAATTGCATCTGGAAAGCAGAGCTGAGTTGGAGCCACTCTGGGTGAACCCCAAGTTCCTCCTCAGCCCTAGTGGACACTTATCCCCAAGCCACCAGGCCTGAGGTCTCTGCTTTGGCTGTTCTAGGCCTCTGGGTGTTGGGAAGCTGAGAGGAGACGGTCTCTGCAGAAAAGACACCCTATCCCATGCTCCCTCTCTGGGGGTCTTCTGTTGCCCCAGCTAAACATGTCAGGTTGTCATTATCACCTCCGGAAAGGTGTTTTCATTCATCACACAATTTTTGGCAAAAGGCCCAGTGTTGAAATGGTTGATTACCCTCCGCCCAAGTGCTTTGAGGTGGCGAGGGGGACTCAAGGGGCACAGTGAGGGTGCTCCCATCCTTCCTTCCTTCAGAGCCTCTCACCAGATGCCTGAGTTCTCAGACCCCAGGACTTTAGCCTCACTGAGCTCCCAGGAAGGGGTATGGCCAAGAAAGAGTAGCCATGTACGGGTTTGCCCACGAGTGTGTGCGTGTGTGTGGTGGGTAGGAAACAGTGCTCAGAGGTTCTCCACACGCCCCTGTGCACATCCACATGGACACCCTGGCAGGTGATCTAGAACAGGCGCCGTGGCCCTCGCAGCCTGAAAACTCACCCCATCTCTGTCTTTCCATCCATCTGCTACTGCAGCACTGTGTTCCTAGACCCTTCCCATTGTCTCCCCTGTTGTCTTTTCTCCATTTTTTTTTCCTACTTTTGGGAAATTTCTTTGGCATCTTTCATCCCGTCTTTTTTTGGCCACCATTTCTAGTTCCCAAGAGTCCTTTCTGTTATATATTTTTAGCATGATGTTCTTATTCTATGGGAGTGATGCCATTTTAAATTTAAGGATACTTTTTAAAAATGATAGCTTTATTGAGATACAATTCATTTAGCACAAGTCACCCATTTAAAGTGAACAATTCAGTGGTATTTAGTACACTCACAGTGTTATGCAACCATCACCTCTATCTAATTCCAGAACATTTCCTTCACCCCAAAGGAGACTCTGTCCTCATTAGAAGTCACTCCCCCTTTGCCCTCCCCCAGCCCCTGGCAGCCACTACTCAGCTTTCAGTCTGTGGATTTGCCCATCCAGACATTTCACATAAATGGGATCATACACCATGTAGCCTTTTGTGTCTGGCTTCTTTGACTCCATGTAATGTTTTCAAGGGTCATCTAGATTGTAGTGTGTCAGTACTTCATTCCTTTTTATAGTCAGTAATATTCTATTGTGTGGATGGACCACGTTTTGTTTATGTGAGAACACCTGGGTTGTTTCTACCTCTTGGCGATTGTGACTACTGCTGCCGTGAACATTTGTGTCCAAGGATTTGTTGGATGTGGATTTTTTCAGTTCTCTCAAACGCATACTGAGGCGTGGAATTGCCGAGCCATTTGGTAATCCTGTCTAACTTTGAAAAACCACCAAACTTCCTCAGTGACTGCACGATTTTACATTCGCACCAGCAGTGCACAACGGTTCCAATTTCTCCACATCCTCGCCAACGCTTATTTTCCGATTTTTTTAATCTAGCCATCCTAGTAGGTATGAAGGAGTATCTCATTATAGTTTTGATTTGCGGTTCCCTGGTGGATGTTGTTGCACCTTCTCATGTGGATCTTGGCCATTTGTGTATCTTCTTTGGAGACATATCTATTCAAGTGCTTTGTCTTTTTTGAAGATATTAAAACTGGTCATTTTGTTGTTGAGTTAAAGTTTTCATCCCCTTATAGTCTCTCTTTCCTTTCAAATGCATTTTTCTGCCTGGTTTGGAGCCTGACATGTGTTGCCTGGAAGCCCCATCTACCACCCTCCTCAGGCCTTTCCTCTGGGCGGCTCAGGCTTCCTCAGGAGGGCCCCTCTGTTTCCTCTTCTCCCAAGGCTATATGTCTGTCCCTGCTGTCATCCAGGTGTGGGCTCTGCAGCAGACCAGGACCCCGAGCAGCCTTGCAAGGCTGCTCGGGGACAGCTCGGCGGGAACCCCTCCTTTGAGGTTCCTGAGGCTCTGACCCCCAGGCCACGGGGTTCTGGGGCTTGGGATTCGGTTTTCTTGGATCCTATAGGAAAGTCACCACCTGTACTTCTGCTTTAGTGTTAAATGTCTCTCTCTTGTTCCCTTTCCTCTTCATGCCATTTTAATGGGGGCTTGAAAGAGAGTGAATGGAAACCCCTGTTCTTTGTTTTTCGTCTTTAACCAGAGTTCTGGTGGCTTCTCTGTGAATGGACAGGAAACCTGGCCTCCCTTGGCCATGGGGACCGTGTTGCCCTAGGGAATGCCTGCATGTTTTGGGTACCTTTCCTTTGGCTCTCTTTGCATTTTGGCCCATGTGCAGAGGACAGCAGCAGTGGTCTGGAATGTAGCCATTAGCCAGGGAGTCAGGCTTGCTCGTCTCTGGCTGGAGCAGCGTAGACATAGCCCCTGAGCCCCTGGATCTCAGCCTCCCTGCAGGCCGTGGAGGGCCCTCGGCACCACACACAACACCAGAGTCGCTGTCAGGGCCTCTGTTTGCCCATCAGGCATTGGGTTGTCTCTCTCCCCTCATCCCTGGCTGCACTGTTTTGCTCAGGTCCAGGGGGGCCAGTGGCTGCCCCTGCCATCCACAAGGAGGTTCTGTGGCTGGGGTTCCTAGGAAAGCGAGTGCTGAATCCGGAGGCCTTCCTGTCACAGAGCAGGGCATCTCAATTCTCTTCTAAATTCTCTATAAAGTTTCTGCAGTGTGTCATTATTAGGATGAACAGTTGAGGGGCCAGTGCCCAGCTGCCACTGGGACACAGTACAGACCTTGAATGTTTGGTCAGTTTTATGTGGTTCCCTGGTCTCCATAATAATGAGTGAGTGGTCAACTCACCCTTCCTAGGGCACAGGATACTGAGTGGGGTAATCCTTGGGGCAGTGAGACTGAGACCGCAGGGCAGCTGTAAATGAACCTAGGGTGGGATGCGCTCTGGCCACTCTACCTGCCAGTCCTGATGTACCCAACATGCTCGCCCTCTCTGGTTCAGTGGGGCGGTGGCCCTTCCCTGAATCACTGGGCAAGGGTGGGACAGTGTGGTGTCAATGCAGAGACAGGTGGTTCTGGATGCACCCCGGGGGGTACTGCTGCAAGCCCCCACCTACCCTGCTTCTCCTTTGCAGGAAGTTGTGCCAGCCACAGAGCACAGGTAGCCTCCTTGGAGACCCTGCTGCAGCCAGCCCTCCAGGCGAGCACGGGAGTTCGGCCTTGCCCCCACAGGTAGGAGCAGTGGGTGGAGGTGCTGGAGGAGGAGAAAAGGGAGGGGGGTTCTCACCCTGAGCCAGTGAGCCTGATCCAACCTTGGTGCTTAGGGACCTTTTTGGGCTCTTGGCTCAGGGCTGGGATGTTTTCCTCAACTAGTGAGCAGCTGCCTGGCTTCCCCCAGGCTGGGGGCCTGGGCCCAGGGCCTGGGTGCACTTCCCTTGGACACCTGTGGGTGGTGTGGCCAAGGGATGGCAGACACTAGGCTGCCCTGAACCTCTGCTGCCTCTCAGGACTTTCGGTGAGGATTCCGTAAATCCAGTGTGCTGGCTGCAGAATAGGACGGTGCCCAGAGGGGCCCCATGAGTGGTGGCCGCTGCTATTTTAGTCAGTCAGAAAGGGCACTAGGGTAGGGGGAGCTCACTTGGCTCTGGCTAGGGTGGTCTTCGGCTGTGCCCCCCTCACCATTGCTTAAGCTTTTTGGTAAAAGTTATCTCCCCACCCACGTTGGTGCTGTGACACAACTGGGCCCCTCCCCTCCCTCTTCCTACCCCCTCCTCCTTCTCTTCCTCCTCCACCTCTTTACCCTCCCCCCTCTACTTCTTCCCCCCTCCTTCTGCCCTCTTCCTCCTCCTTCCTCACCTTCCCTCCCCTCATCTCCTCCTCTTCCTCCAGCCTGGAACACCCAACCCACATCCATAGCCCAGAAGCCTTCTTGTGGAAAGGCTGGGTCCATACAGACCCCCAACTGTGGGGCCTTATTTCACCCACACCCTACTGCTGCTCCCTGGTCCTGGGCCTGCTGTCGGCCACCTTTCTCTCTTTAGCCGCTTCCTTGGGTCAGGGCTACCTGGTCCAGTGCTGGCTCCCCTCCTATGATCTGGGTTTGCCTCACACACCTCAGTCTAATCACCTGTGAAATGGGGATAAGACTTAGACCATGTCGCAGGGCTGCCATGAGATCCAAGTAGTCAGGGGTCTGGGGTGATGGGTCCCAGCCTGTGGGGCTTTCCAGTATCCCTCAGACTTGGCTCTGTCACCGTTCCTATCATCTGGGAAAGATATTGAGCACAGCAACGTTTCAGACCATTCCCCAGAGGTGGTTGAGCCTGTCTGCTCATGACCTGGCCACCCTTCCTTCTGCAAGTATCCTTGGGGTGGGTGCCAAGGGCCTGGCTGGTGTGTGGACGTCCCCATGTGGCAGGAGTGGGCCTTGCGTTTGGGTGCTGGTTTTCCTCTGGGCTTGGGCTGCCTGCGTGCTCTCCTCAGGTCAGCCTGTTGCTGCTGTGTCACTCCCCAGGGGACACCAGCAACTCCAGACACAGGCTCCCCTCTAAAATAGTCTCCCTTCCTTCACAGAAACGGCCTCAGCCTCCTGATTTCATTGACCCCCTAGCCAACAAGAAACCCAGGATATCGCACTTCACCCAGAGATCTCAGCCTACCATCAATGGAAAGCTGAGTGCACCTCACAGCCGCGAGGCCCTACTATCCACCCCAGGCCCCCTGGCTGGCACGGACACCCACCTGCCCCCACGGCTGGAGCCCCCGAGGGCATATGACCCTCTGGCTGACGTCAGCAATGACTTGGGCCACAGTGGCCAGGACTGCGAGCATGGGGAAGTGGCCACCCCAGCCCCTGCTGCGTGCCTCAACCTGCCCCTACTGATGGACTGTGCCCAGACCAGCAGGCCTCACAGTGGTTCATCTCGCAGCAAGTCCAAGAAGAAGTCCAAGAAGCACAAGGATAAAGAGAAGGCAGCTGGGGACAGGCATCGGGCTGGGCCGACAGACCTCATTCCTGGCTCTCTTGGAGCCCCACCGGTCGCCCCGGGTAGGTGCTGAGAGGCAGGCCTGGGGCAGGCGCTCTGCAGGAGGGCGCTCCTGGGAGCCTGAGCCCCGGCTCCACATCATGCCAAGGGGGCCACACTGCCCCATGTGCCCCCATGTTGGCATGCCCTGTGCATTCAGCCCCTCTGCACCCTGTGTTCTCATACCGGGCATCAGTGAATGCCCGGCAGCCTCAGCCCTGGAGCCTCCTGTAGTCCTTTGTGAGCCAGGCCAGCACTGGGGGCTAGAGACACAGGTCTGACTGAGCTGAGACTCACGAGAGGGGCGATGCATGCAGAGAGGAATGAGTTCCAGGCACAGATACTGAGAGGGGGCAGGGTGAGGCCAGGACCAGCTGGGCTCAGGGAAGGCTGTGGGGATGGCCTGGAAGGAGAGGGGCAGCACCTGCACTGCCATGGGCTTTGTATGACTTGAGGAGCCTGTGGAGAAAGGGTTAGGAAGGCTGTTCCTAGGACAGGGGGTGGTAAGGGCCAGAACGAGGTCATACAGTGGGTGGGGGAACTGGAAGTTGAGAGATCAGCAGCAGGATGAGAGGTGTAAGGCCAGCCAGGGCCGTGTGCTGAGCAGGATAATCTCTGTGGGGCCCGGAGGCACTGGGGAGGCATGTGGACAGGCTGGGCTGGTGGTAGGGTAGGGGTCATCACCCCCAGAGCCTGGGCCACTCTGAGTTCACAGCCCCAGGCACCTGAGCTGAGCACCCTGTGTGGCTGTTAACTTGATCAGCATGTAGCAACAAAATCACAGCCTCATCTACCACGTGCACACAGTCCCAGTCTTGTCTCCTGCTGTCACTCTGGAATCATTTCCCCAGGCAGAGTCCAGAGTAGGGGTCATTTCTGGGAGAACAGAACTATCTCCTTAAGGCTTTTTAAGGAGTTCTTCAACTGCCCTCCAGAAAGGCTGCACCAGCCCCTTATCTGGCTGGAAGACAAGTCCTGGCAGATACAATTGGATCAGTCCTCTGGGTTCCTTGCAGCCCTGCCACACCACTGGGCCTCCTAGCGTCTGAGTGGGCAGACAGGGAGAAGGTGGCCTGGATCCCTGAGTGCCCCTCTGATCCTGTATTGCCCGAGAAGATAGGCTTTGAGCAGCCTGGCTGGGCAGCACGTTCTGTCCCAAATCGTAGAAGTGAGACCCTGTGCCTCTGGCAGGGCCCTGGGAAGGAGGAACACTGGAGACAGGAAGATGCAGCTCAAACTGACCCCATACATGCATGGGGCTCAAATCCTGCCTGGTGTGAGTCAGCCATGCAGCTTGTCCCCAGTCCTCAGGCCAAGGTGACCTGCAGCATGAGCTCACAGACGCATCCCCTCACCCCCCTGCCCCTGCGAGGCACAGGAGAAGCTAGTGGGGTGATGGGGGCTGTGAAGGAGACAGACGGAGGTCGGGGGGAGAGAAGCAACCTTGGGGGTATTGCCTACGAGGCTGAGACCCCATAGCAGGAACCACCTCAGCTGGTGCAGAGGAGGCCAAGTGATGGCTGCACACAAATAGTTCTCCAGCAGGAGCTAGGGGCCTCAGAGGTTTGCCACAGGCCAGACCCCAAAGATGTCTTGAGTGCTAGGTCGATCTGACCCTGAGCCTCAAGGCATAACATTCCAGGAGGCCCAGCTTGCACCAGGCATGGGTCATGGAAGCATGGACTAAACCCTCACATGTCCATCGGGCTTTCGCCGAGGGAGACCACAGCCTCATTAAAGACGACACCCCCAGGTGCGGGTTGGGATGTGCTCTATCCTCTGGTGGGAACCCACAACAGAGGGCAGCCTTGTACCCTAAGTATGAAATCACAAGAGGGCTTGGCAAACTGGTGATGGGCTGGAGGCTGCTCTCACTGAGGATATGCTACAAAGTGATAAAACCCCTTCTATATTGGGAAAAGCTATCTGGAAAAAGCTGGTGGGGAGAGGTAGATACGCTAGATTATAGTTTCAGCTGACTACGGTCTGGGCAGGCCTTTGTCCCATGTCCTTGAGCCCCACCACAAGGACAGCCTGAGGTGTGTGCCTTCGAGACTCCAGCCCAGCCCTGTTCTGGGGCTGCCCTGCAGGTTCTGAAGTTCCTCATCTGCTGGGAAAAGTGGGAGCATCAAGTGGAGCTCAGACCAACTCCATCAGCAGAGAGGTGTGGGCAGTTGTGAGGCTCCCCCAAGGCTATCTTTGTCCTTCAAGGCCCAAAACCAAGCACTCCAGGGACTCGGTTGGCCATGGGTCACTTGTTTTCAGCGTAGTGGCCCTTGATATGCAATCAGCAGATGCAGCAAAGCCTCTGGATGGTCGAGTTGTCCAGACTTTGGATCTGAGATGAACCTGTCCTTTCAGTTGCCTGCTGAACACGTGTCTGCGGCACCATCAGGGTGTTGTGCATTTAAGGGGCTGTGGTTCGCAGACACAGAACGCACACATCATGGAAAGGCCTCGATTCCCCTGTGTCTAGCAGAGCCCCTTGATGGTGCTGGGCTGTCCCTCACAGCCCCTCTGCTGTTCCTCCATGTCCTTCAGACAACAAAGCGTGAACCTTTTGCAGATCTCATTTGCTCTTTGTAGGTTTAAACGGGACCTGCAACAGCTCAAGTGTCCCCACGTCAACCTCGGAGACGCCTGACTACTTGCTGTGAGTACTTCCTTGAGGCCCTTCCTCTCCTAGGGCTTTACACTCCCCCCCCCTCATCGCCCTCCTCCCCACCCTGCACTACAGTCAGCAGGAGCACCAACTCCGAGTCCCTGTGTGCCAGTTCCAGCCACCCAGCCTGTTCTAGGCCAGGCTTCTACTCAGGTCAGGGCCTCGCTGGGTGGGGCCAGCCGTGCAGCCATAGGCACTCCAGCCTCTCCACAGCGGCCCCTGAGCCCCGCAGGCCTCTCTCCCATCTCCAGAAAATATGCCGCCATCTCCTCCTCGGAGCAGCGGCAGAGCTACAAGAACGACTTCAACGCCGAGTATAGTGAGTACCGTGACCTGCACGCCCGCATCGAGCAGATCACACGGCGCTTCACGCAGCTGGACGCCCAGCTCCGGCAACTCTCCCAGGGCTCCGAGGAATACGAGGTGGGGCCCCCTGCCCGCACCCCACCCTGGGGGGACAGGCCTGTTTATCCACAGTCCAGCCAAGCCCAAGGCCTCCAAACCTAGCCCCTACCCTCCCTGGTGAGGAGGGACTGCAACAGTATTTCGCCCTCTCACGGTGTGGCAGGTGGCTGCTCCTTACTGGTCCTCTACTCCCCATATCACAAGGGACACCTCAGCCCTTGGCCAAGAGGGGCAGGGCCAGGCCACACTGTACCCCATGGCCTGTCTGCCTATCTGCTATCAGAACCGCAGTGGGAGGTGGGAGGGAATGGAGGGTCCCTGTGGTACCTCCACCCATACCAGCAGTACCTTGTCCTCTTGCTTAGGCCACACAGGCTCTCTAAGCCCCCATGTGGGAGCTCCCTGCAAAGGGATGGCTTTGGTCACCAGCCCTGGACCCCCACCTCCCCCTCGAGCCATCTTTCTGAGTTGGTCACCTGGCTGCAGGGCCAGCCCTAATTAATTGGAGGTCAGGGTCTGTCTTCCCAGGTGGAAGCCACCTTGGTTTCCAGACGAGACGGATCATGATTGGAGGAGTGATGGGGGTTCTGAGAATCTGGGACAGACGAGCCCCTAGGGCATCCTCATCCTCCCTCCTCTCTGTCCCCATGTAGACACCCCAGCATTCCCTATACCCCCAAGTGGTCAGGGGCCTCAGCGCTTAGCCTTGAACAGTGGACAGGCCAGCTGAAGCACGAGGGAAGGAGGCCGTCTGCCCGCTCTTTGCTCCTTCCCACTGTGCTGTCTTGTCCCCGAGGTTGGGCCCCTGAACCTCGCCCCCTGGTCCAGCTTCCTCCCCGCAACCTCCACCCCAGCCTGCTGCTCTTCCGCTGGACTTTAGTCAGCTCCCCTCAGGGGAGCTAGGCCTGCAGGCTGTTGTCCCCAGGCCAGTGATGATGTGCAGGTCAGAGGTTATCAGGGAGCCACACACACACTTGGAGCTTCCCACAGGTTGAGGCATTGTTTTCTTTCTTTTTTTTTCTCCAGACTACTCGTGGGCAGATTTTGCAGGAATATCGCAAAATCAAAAAGGTGAGTCTCTATTCAGCTGTGGGGGCAGTGGGGAGCAGCCCTTCTCTGGGCACCCCAGTACCCGCCAGCTTTTTCATTGCATGGTGATGCATGGCCCGAAGTCAAGGAGAGGAGAAATGAAGTTCCCAGCTTCAGCTGCTAGTCTAGCAGGGACACCCAGCCTCATGAGCTCTGGGCTCTCTCCTAGGGTACCTGAAGGTATCCTGTGAGGTGGCCCCTGGCTGATGCCTGGTCAGGGCAATGGCAGTTCTAGTTCCTGAAGGCCACTAGCTGTGAATTCACCATGTGTGTGCTAGGTGCTTCCCTGTGAGCCAGGCCCCAGCCCAGCCTGGAGGCTTCATTCCGATCTCGCCTCTGACCCTTAACCTGGCCACAACCCTGTTACCCAGCGTTGGGGCTTGGGAGGGACACTAGCCAAGGGCTCTGGCCTAAGGTAGAGAAGGGGTCCGTGTCATTGCCTGGTGGGTACTGGCCTGTAAGCAGGGGCAGTGGGAGCCTGAGGGAGCCAGTAGGCTGGCGTTTCCACATAGGGCAGCGCCCATTCCAACCACACTTCAGGATGCCAATGGCTGTAAGATGTGGCTCACCCCGCTGTTCTGTTGCAGACCAACACCAACTACAGCCAAGAGAAGCACCGCTGTGAGTACCTGCACAGCAAGCTGGCCCACATCAAGAGGCTCATCGCCGAGTATGACCAGCGGCAGCTGCAGGCTTGGCCCTAGCTTCACGTTGAAAGACAAGAGGTCCTCCTCCCTGGACTGACCCTTCTGGCTGGGGAGCTGAGGGTGGGGGGAAGCTAAAAATGGGAAAAAGATTTATTTAACAAAATAAACACAAGGAAGACAACTTCATCTGAGCCAGCAATGCCGGCTTTCAGGGGAGCTCCTGCAGACCTGGAAACCATAGGTCACAGTTCCAAGCGGGGTGTCCTACTCCCAGCCCCTGTACCTCCTGAGTAGCCCCCACCCAGAACAGGCTTCCCAAGAAGCCCAACTCGCCGACCACAGCCCAGGGTCTTCAGTTTCCTCTCGCCAGAAGACTTGGCCAGCCTGCCTGCCTTTTCTAGTTTTATACAAAGACAGCCACTTTTAGCTACTGCTCATGAGACTTGAGTCTATTTTTGTATGAAAGAGAAAGCATCTTTTTTCTAAACCTGTGCCTCCCTCCTTGGACACCCGGGGTCTAGACTCTGCCCTGTGTCCTTTCTGCAGTATTACAGATGCCATCGGAAAGTTTGAGTGGGGGACCAGCCTTGGTCACGTTTCCCATGCTGGGCTCTGGCCAAGCGCCCAGCCAGGCCCTCCAGACCCAAGCAAGGGTGGGCTTTCTTTAAGGGAGTGTGCAGGACGGCTGGACCTCCCAGGTCTATTTTGAGAACTCCAGCTGGCCGGCCCCCAGAGCAGCTGCTGGAGCCCCCGGCCTGCCCACTATTTCAGTCCCTCAGCTGTTGGGAGCACTGGGGTTCTCTGTGCTACAAGCTCACTCTGCAACAACAGTGCTGAACTTTATTCCATGTTCTCAATTTCCACTTTGCTGCTGCTTTTCATGTCATACTGTTAAAATCTCACTCCGTCCCTCAATCCCCTTGTGGGTCCTGGGGTCATCTTAGCAGAGCCACCTCGGGGTTTGCACTCAGGGAGGGTCTGGGGTTTGGTGGGGTCAGGCCCCTCCCCCAAGAGTGAGCTCAGAAAAGGCGCCTGGTCCACCTACTCTGGTGGCATGGGCTGCATGAACACCCCAATTGCTGCTTAGTCACTGTGCCTAGTATAGTGTATCCCAGAGCGTCAGGGAGCTCTGTGTGTGTGTGTGTGTGTGTGTGTGTGTGTGTGTGTGTGTGTGTGTGCGCGCGCGCGCGCGCTGCGATGTGGTGGGGTCTGAGGTGGGTGCTCAGATTCAGGGCCACATTCAGTGGGGTTGGGTATGGCTGTGACCCACAGTCCCACAGGAAGAGCGGCAGTCTCACAGACACTTCTGTGGTCTGTGTGTCTAAGCCATGGGGCGTCTCCTGATGGCTTCCCAAAGAATAAGCCCCTCGTGAATGCCTGCCTTGTGCCCACCCCACAGTCTCTTCCGCAGTCCCCTGGGTGCCCGAGCACCAAGGAAGCTCATCCTTCATGTTTCACTAGCTGTTGTGTTGTTTTTCCTTTGGGACAGTGGGTGAAGAGCTGAGCAGACTCCAGGCCCGAGTTGTGCAGACAGCTGTGTATGTGGACAGGCAGACTGGTGACATGGGCTTGTTTAAGGAGACCCCAGCCCTCTGCCCTGGGAATCAGTTCAAGGGACTCTCAGTTGAATTTCCTTTTTGTTTTTTGTTTTTTGTTTTTTTCCCCACCTTTTAAGGAATTATGAAGCTAAGAAAAGTTTTGTGCTTTGGGGGTTGATGGACAAAAGTTCTAGCTGATTAAATATGGTCTTAACTTATTGATACTGTTTTTTATTTCCTTTTTCCTTTTAATATTGTACTGTGGAGAAAAACTATTTTGAGCCATGGAGTTGGTGTTTACAAGAACTTTTCACTTTTGCCAAAATGTTACAATTGAAAGGCATCTGCGTCCTCAGTTTCCTAATATTTTCTTAAAAGATCTAGTGTCCTTTTTGTACACTAAACAGATGAATGCTGATTTTTTCAACCTACAATAAATTTCACTGAATCGAATCTAGCAGCCCAGGCTGCGTGGGTGCGTGTGTGTCTGTCACAGCCTGGGGGCCCTGGTCCACTGTGTGGGGTGGGCCAAGGTCAGGCCATGGTGATGAGCAGGGCCTGGGACCAGGCAGAAAAGGCAACCTCGGCAGCCTGCCCAAGCTGCTGCCTAGGAATGAGGCTGGCCGGTGGAGGCTGACCTGACTGAGGCGGTGAGCCCTGCAGGTGCCAGGGCAGGAAGCCAAGACTGCCTGGTCACAGGTAGGAAACTGCAAAGAGATCGGGAAGGTGGGGGCCATGGGGAGCCACAGTGGATGTGTGAGCAGGGAAATATCCCCCGCAATGCCCTCACCACCTTATGGATAGGGTGGGCTGAGCCAAGCAGAGATGTCCCTGGGCCTCCAGCCGTGCCACTTGGGGTAAGGGGAGCACCTTATTTGGGGAAATGAGCTGTGACTGATGAAAACAGTGGTAACTATTGTTCCTTCCTCCTAGACCAGCATGCTGGGGTGCCCCCTGTGCCCCCGATGGGAACAAGGATGCTGAGGCCCAGTGGAGCCCCACAGGCCCAGGATGCCATCCTTGTCCCATGTTCCAGGTGAGGAGACAAAGGCAAAGGTCCTGGCCTCCAAGGACATGGTGGGGGTGTGCGTTTATTTGGGGAGGGAAAAATAGATAAACAGTAAGACCAGGATTAACAGAGTTCAGGGGTCAGGGCTGTGGGCCTCAGCTTCCCTGGCGGTCCCCCAGGCCAACAGCCTTGGTTTGAGTTCTGAGGCAGCCCAAGAATCTGAGGGGTGCGGGAGGCAAGGTCACATGGGTCTAGCAGGGCAGAGTGTACCCTACTCCCTGCTGGCCTGGTCACCAAGTTGTAATGGGATAACATTGCTGTGCCCGCATACCAGGGTCCAGGCTGACACCTGCCTTCTCCTGTCTTATCACTCCTTAGCCTCGCCTGCCCACCCACCTCCCCCCTCTGCCAGCCTTTCCCACAGCCCCCCATGCTGCCCAGCGCCACCCTACCCATTGCCCCTTAGTGCACAGCAGCCGCAGGCAGTTCCCTGACCATCCTTCCTCAGTCCAGGCCGCCAAGAGTCCAGCCCCCCAGGTGGCCAAAAGGATCTTCCCCCACCTTGAGACCTGTACTGTGGCTGTGGGGCTCAGGACTGCCCACCCTCTCCTACTCCTTGCTGGATAACATCCTTGATTGTCCTCCCACCAGCACCCAGATCCCACAGCCCCTCCTGTGCCCTGGGCTCCCCCTGGGCACTGGCACTTAACAGCAACAAAGACAGCTCTGCTCTTGCCCTAGGGTCTGGTAAGAACAGTGATCTGGTGGGAACAGTAGTCCTCAGTCACTCACCACCCACCCCTAGGCAGCATTCAACCCCACGTGGCACACCCAGGCAGCCTTATATCACCAACCAATTGCTAAGAATAGTCCCTCTCAGCTGTCCCCAGCACTGCCCCTCCATGGACCCACCTGGGCTCTGTCCCACCATCCTTCGACTGGCACCTCTTTCATGCTACCCTGGGAATGCTGGGGTTCCCTGGGGCTGTGTTTTGGGGCCTTTATCCTCTTCTCTGCACACATTCCTGTGATATACCATGTGGCCTGGAGGTGCAAGCTCCCTGTACGACCCTCTGGTCCTCAGACACCAAATGGACATCCAACAGTTCAATTCCCAGGGCTGGCATCACACCCCACAGGTTAAGCTGCTCAGTCCCACAAAACTGTCCCCCACTTCAGACATCAGCCACAAGTTCCCAGCCACCCATATTTCTGAACAACAGGCTATACGTCAGGGGTTCTGATGACCCCCTTCTAGGTTTGGTAATTTGCTAGAATGGCTCACAGTGCTCAGGAAAATACTTCCAACAGCCAAAGGGAGGAGAGGCAGAGGGCAGGGTGGGGACTGGCACGGGGCTTTGGTGCCTGCTTCATGTGTGCCACCCTCGCAACACCTCTTGTGTTCACTGATACCCTTTGTTTAGGGTTTTTTATAGAGGTTCTATTCCGTAGGTATGATTGAGTAAATTACTGGCCACTGGTGATGAAATTCAATCTCTACCCAGGAGCTGGAACATACCCAAGTATTCATGAGACCATATTCCCTGTCTCCATCCCTGAGGGCCTACCCTGGTTCCTTACACTGCCCCCCTTCCCCTCCCCAGCTGCCTTTTCATCTGCTCCTGAATCTACTTCCTCAGATAAGAGGTCTTCAGATCTCAAGACCCCTCCCAGCATCCACCTCCTCTAGGCAGCCTGCCCTGGCCAGCCCTGCCTCTTGAGTTCCCTCAGCTGGGAGTGCCCCAGTCCACTACCAACTCCCTGTATACTGGGGTCCCTTGAGAGCAAAGCCTTGGAGCCCCCACACCCCCTAGGCGGGGCCCTGACCATGCTTCCTGGGAATGTTCCCAACTATCCACCTTTTGGGCCCACTCCAGTGGTGGAAACTTTCCAGCCGGAGGAGGCCGCTTGTTTTGGAAAGTTCCAGCGGGGAGCCGCCACCGCCCGCCCGCCCGGTTCCCACGATTTCTTATCACTGGGTGCTAGCAGAGCGCAGTGCTTTGCAAGCCTAGCTCCTCCCCAGCTGGCTGCCTGGGCCTTGCCATCCCTTCCTCACCATACATTCCTACCCCTTAACCTGGCCCCGCAAGCCCTCCTGCTACAGGTGGGGAAACTGAGGCCTCCCAGGACTCCCCCATGTGAGCCCTGTCAGAGGGAGATCGGAGTGCCTAGTGGGTGCTACTGCTCCGGAAGTGGGAAGGAGAGGCAGCCTGGGCGGGAGGAGTGTCTGGCTTTGGGGGTGCAAGTCCTAGCTCAGTCCTCTGCTTCAGTTTTCCCTGTAGTATCTCGGCCCCAGGGACACCCACCCTCGTAGGCCCAGCCACCCTGCCCAGTTCCACTTCCTGCCCTGTGTCTGGGGTTTAGGCATGGGGGTGGGGGTGGGGGTGTCACGCAGCAGAGGGCAGACCCGTGTGACCCCGTGCCGCCTCTTAGGTGGTCATCAAGTACGTGCTGTATGTGGGCGACAGCAAGCATGCGCTGGATGAATACACGTCCGACCTGATGCTGGGCAGCACCAACGCGCTCACTTTCAGCCTAAATGTCCTCTTTTGTGAAATGGGGATAAAAGGCCACACGCCCTAATGGGCTGTGGTGCGAAATGAATCCACGCGCTCCCTGCTTGGTGCCAGGGTCTACTGCCCACGTGGATGCGGGGACCAGCACGCGATAGCCTCGTGGACTCTGCTGTAGGGCCTCGAACCCGAGTCCAAGGCCAGCGCGCCCTCCCCCGGCGCGAGCAGGGTGAGGGGCGGAGCGAGGGCGGGGCTGCGGCTCTTTTCTCTGGAGTTCGCGCGCCGGGAACGCTAGCAGTGCGCCTGTCCGAACCGACTCCGCGCCCGGTGAGTGGGGTCCCGGGAGGGATACGAGTCTGGGGGATCGAAGTCGGCTTGGACCGGCGGGATCTCTTGTTCCCGCTGACCTCCTATCAACCCCACACTCCCAGCTCATCGTGATGGAGACCGCAGCCGAGTTTGTGGTGGAGAGCCCAGACGTGGTTTATAGCCACGAGGCCATCGAGGCGCAGTACGAGTATCGCACGACAGGCGTCAGCCGCGAGGGCGGCATCCTCAAGGTGGGCAAGGAACTGGGGGCTGCGGGACTCATGGATCCGGGAGTGGGGTGCGATTGCCTAACGTCTACGGTCCCGAACTCACTGTGCCGCCCGCCCCCAGGTGCACCCCATGTCCACGCGCTTCACCTTCCGGACTGCCCGTCAGGTGCCCCGGCTCGGGGTCATGCTTGTCGGCTGGGGAGGCAACAACGGCTCTACACTCACTGCTGCCGTGCTAGCCAACCGGCTGCGCCTGTCCTGGCCCACGCGCACGGGTCGCAAGGTATGGGGGTCGGTCGGGCGGGGCGCTGCGGGAGTTGGGCTCTGCCAGAGTCGTGCAGGCGGGGGCGGGGCCTGCAGGGAGGGGTCTCCACGGGGGCGGAGCCTAAGGTGTCCGCGAGCTCTGGGTCGGGACCTCTGGCGCGGAAGCAGCTTCTGCCTTCGGCCCTCTTCTGGCTTGGAGTGTCAAGCTGAGTCCCCCAAAGTGGGGCAGGGCCCTCCCCACGCCACGCCCACCCTTAGCGTCACTCCATCCCTCCCCCGACGCCCCCAGGAGGCCAACTACTACGGCTCGCTGACGCAGGCGGGCACCGTTAGCCTAGGCCTGGACGCCAAGGGCCAGGAGGTGTTCGTGCCCTTCCGTGCGCTGCTGCCCATGGTGTCGCCCGATGACCTCGTGTTCGACGGTAGGCGGGGCCATGAACCGGGAGTGGGGTGGGAGGCGGGACCTGGAGGGACCCCCTCTGCCGGGCCGGGCCGAGCCTAAGGGTCGCCCCCAGGCTGGGACATATCGTCGCTGAACTTGGCTGAGGCGATGCGGCGTGCGCAGGTACTGGATTGGGGGTTGCAGGAGCAGCTGTGGCCGCACATGGAGGCCCTGCGCCCACGGCCCTCGGTCTACATCCCGGAGTTCATCGCAGCCAACCAGAGCACGCGCGCAGACAACCTCATCCCAGGCACACGCGCGCAGCAGGTGCAGCATGCCCCCACCCCCATCCTCATCCCTTATCCCCCAGCACTTGTTCCCACTGCCATTTGCTCCTCTCTCCCTCCACCTGTCTCCCTTTTGTCCCCATGCTCCCATCCCGAAGGGCCAGATCTTTCTTTGCACTTGGGGAGCTGGGGAGCCCAGACCTCCACACATCAGGGGGCCTGTACAACCTCCCCCACACCCCACCTCCACTCCCGCAGCTGGAACAGATCCGCAAGGACATCCGCGACTTCCGGTCCCGCGTGGGGCTGGACAAAGTCATCGTGCTGTGGACAGCAAACACTGAGCGCTTCTGCGAAGTGGTCCCGGGCCTCAATGACACCGCTGAGAACCTGCTGCGTACCATCCAGGTGGGTGCCCCGGGGTGGAACAGAGTCAGGGACAGTTTCCAAGGGACCCCTCCGCTGACTGTCCGCCTGTGCCCGCAGCTAGGCCTGGAGGTATCGCCCTCCACGCTCTTCGCAGTGGCCAGCATCTTGGAGGGCTGTGCATTCCTCAATGGGTCCCCACAGAACACTCTGGTGCCGGGTGCGCTCGAGCTCGCCTGGCAACGCCGCGTCTTCGTGGGCGGAGATGACTTCAAGTCAGGCCAGACCAAGGTCAAGTCTGTGCTGGTAGACTTCCTTATCGGCTCTGGCCTCAAGGTGCGTGGGCTTAGAGGGTGCGCAGCTCGAGGCAGGGGGAGGGGTTGGACCACAAGCTCCGGGCTGGTGCACTGCCAGGCCTGCAGTGCCCCTCCTTCCCGCAGACCATGTCCATCGTGAGTTACAACCACCTGGGCAACAACGACGGGCGGAACCTGTCTGCACCGCCGCAGTTCCGCTCCAAGGAGGTGTCCAAGAGCAGCGTGGTGGACGACATGGTGCAGAGCAACCCGGTGCTCTACGCACCGGGCGAGGAGCCCGACCACTGCGTGCGTGGGGTGTAGGCACAGGGGGTGGAGAGGGGGGTCACCCAGCAGAGGGCAGACCCTTGTGACCCTGTGCCACGCCCTAGGTGGTCATCAAGTACGTGCCGTATGTGGGCGACAGTAAGCGTGCGCTGGATGAGTACACGTCCGAGCTGATGCTGGGTGGCACCAACACGCTGGTGCTGCACAATACCTGCGAGGTGTGAATTGTGTGGGGGCGGGAGTGGGCCCCTCCCCCCCACCTGCCCCGCCCACCGCCTGACCTGTCGAGTCCTGTACCCCACAGGACTCGCTCCTGGCAGCTCCCATCATGCTGGACCTGGCCATACTGACGGAGCTGTGCCAGCGTGTGAGCTTCTGCACTGATGTCGACCCCGAGCCACAGGGCTTCCACCCAGTGCTGTCGCTGCTTGGCTTCCTCTTCAAGGCGCCACTGGTGCCGCCGGGCAGCCCAGTGGTCAACCCACTCTTCCACCAGCGCAGCTGTATCGAGAACATCCTCAGGTGTGCCCCGCCTGGGGGTCCCCACCCTTGGTCCTTTGCCCACTCACTGGACTGTGCACGGGCCCTAGGACTTGCAGGCTGCAGGGGTGCTGGCTTGGGTCTGGCCCTGCTGAGACCCTACCTATCCCCAGGGCCTGCATAGGGCTGCCACCACAGAACCACATGCTTCTGGAGTACAAAATGGAGCGTTTCTGTCCCAAGCAAGTCGGACATGGTGCTGCTGCCTGCCCTGTGTCTTGCAAGAAAGAACAAGCGCCCACAGCCCCCAACTGCTGTACTGGCGACGCCAACGGGCACTCGAAGGCTGAGGCAAACCTGATGCCCACCACCTGAGGCAGTGGCCAATACAGAACCCCGCAACTCTCACCCCCCATTACTCTTCAGAATCCATCTTTCCAGGCCCCTTACCCCCAACACAATAAAGCCATTGCCAATATTAGCCACACCTTTGGGTTCTTGGTACCTTCAACCTAACCCTAACCACCCCCCAACTTTTCACCTCCTACCTACCCTTCAAAACTGTTGTCTCAACCTTCAGGGACCTTCCAGAACCCCTAGGGCCTCTGCCTAAGCCAAACCCTGAAGGTGGGGTTGAAACCTTGGGGGGGGGGTGCCTACAAGCCAAGAAATCTGAGACCAGATACCAAAAACCAAAACAAATTACATTTATTGATTGGGGTCCACCCCCTGCTGTCCAGGGGCAAGGAAGTTCCCTCCTAGGAGTCCCCCAGGACAAAATAGAAATGGGGGGAAGGGCCCATACAGGAAAGAGCCTCTCTGAGGTCCTTGCGTTTATAAAATGAGAGTCTTTCGTGTGGGGCCTCCAAGCCTTGACCAGGAGTCCAGTTGCCCAAGGTGTAAACTCAGACCCTCCCCCTGCAGACCACCCGAGCCCCTGGCCCTTAGCCCTGGGCAGGGGCGCTGAGCAGAGGCCAAAGCCGGCAGTGGGCAAGGGGCTGCTGCCCCGTCACACGCTCATGGTCATCCCGGGCGAATACTGCGGAGAGACGGGGGATGGCGCGCGGGCCGGCTCAGCTCAGGCTTAGGCTGGGACCCGCCCCCCGGGGAGAATGGGCAGGGTGGGGCGGATGTGGGGAGGGGGCTGGTGTTGAAGTTAAGGAGGTGGGGCCGCCCTGGGGCACGGGACCCAGGGTGGGGGCGGGGTAGAGGCGGGGCAGTGAGTCCAGGGTGTGGGGGGGAGGGGAGGGGAAGGATGCCGCGGCCGCCCCCCCACCTGGCCCGCCGCGGTCACGGTCTTGCTCTGGCCCCCCGGCCGCCCCGCCGGGGCCTGCCCGCCAGGCCCCTCCGGCCCGACGCCGCCGCGGGGGGGGAGTCGACGCAGTCGCTTACGCTTTCGCTCGGGAACGGGTGCAGGAAGGTCCCGGCAGCCGCCATCTCGCCGTCGTCCCGCGGGGTGCCCGGGGCGGTACTCAGGCCGGCCACGGCGCCCGGGGAGCTCTGGGGGCGGCCGCGGTCAGCATGCGACTCCCGCCTCGCCCACTGGCCAGGCCCCCTACGCGGCCCACCCCAAAACCCCACCCCGCCCGAGTGCGGCCCCTCACCTTCGGCAACCCGTCCATGTCGCCCGAGCCTGTGGACATTTACACGGGAACACGTGGCTCAGACACGCCTACGCCGGGCCCGCCCCCCAAGCCCGGGGTCCACCGACCCCTCCTCGAACACCCCCACGGCCGCGCCCCCTCCCTCGGTCCAGCCCTCTGGGCTTCCGAGGCAGAGGGCCCGAAAGGGGATCGGTGCCGGCAGCCAGGTGTCCCCACGGTTTAGTTACTGGGCCCTCCCCCAGCGCATCCTAGGTCACTGAGCCGCCCAAGGAGGCTCAGGGCGGGGCGTGACCCTGACGCCCCGACAAGGAACACAGATGGAAGAGCGGGAAGGCCGCCAGGGGGCGCACAAAGCTCGTGAAGCAGCCTGCGGCAGGAGTGGGAATGGGTCGCTGGCCGCCCACTCACCCAGGGATCCGTTCACGTGGTGAGGTTCCAGCGCACTCATTGCGGCCATGGGGCCCTCTGAGCCGGGGCCGAGAGGGAACTGCAGGCAGAGGGGCGGCGTGGGACTGGGGCCACCATCGTGCCAGCTGGGCCACTGCCTCCAGCAGCCACCAACCCACAGTTCCCCACTTACGTTAGCCCTGCCGGCACCCGGCCCAATGGGGTTCATGATGGTGTACATGTTCTCGCTGGAGTTGGTGGAGTCTAGGGAAGACGATGCATGAGGGCCAAGAATGTAAGGGGGCCTCCCCTATGCACACCCCTCTCCACGCACTACCCAGGCCCTAGTACCTCCAGGGCTGGGCATGATGGGTGTTCCAGGGGGCCCACCTCCTCCTGGGGGTCCCTGCATACGAGTGAGACAGAACGTGAGAAAGGCCCCCCCACCTGCCACCCAGCAATCCCTGTTCCCCCCAAGTCTGGTCGCCCAGTCTCAGCCCCACTCACCGTGTAGCTGCCGGGAGAGGAAGAGGAGTAGGGGATCTGGGGAAAGGGGCACCTGTGAGCAGTCCGCCCACTGTACCGCCCACATCCCTAACCCAACTCACTCCCCTCCAGTCCCCATTCTCCAACTCACCGAGTTGCCACTGGGACTGGCCCAAGGGCCACGCACTCCGGAGCCCCTATGAGAGACGGTGAGTGGAACCGAGGGCTGGGCCAGGCAGCACCCTCACCACACCCTGTCCTACTGGCCCCAGAGCAGCAGATACTGGCTAAGTGGTAACCACCTGGAAATCCCAACCCAACACTCACTGACCTTTGGGCCTCAGTTTCCCCACCCAACAGTGGAATAAACAATATCCCGGGCTGTTGTGCAGATCCAACACAAGAAGCTGGGCGGTGACCCCCGTGGGCACACTCCCAGGGTCCCTTAGTGCCTTACATGTTCATTGTGGGCAGGCCTGGGCCGCCGAGGGAGTTGAGTGGGGGCCGCATGCCACCTCCATAGCTCTGTGAAGGCGAAAAGGCCGTGAGTGCAAGCCCAGAGGGGAGAGCCCTGTAAGCCCCCTACCTGGGCCCACTCCTTACCTGGGGCCCAACGCTGGCCATGCCCCGTGGAGGAGTCACCCTTTGCATTGGGCCCATGCTTGGATGCCCTGGAGTGGGGACAGAAGGAAGGGGGGGCTCAGACCAGGACCACTCCTCAGGTGGACACGCGCTGGGAGGAAGGCGGGTGGGGGGGGCGCGGCTCTGCAAGGTGAGGCAGCAGGGACAAGGCACTTGGAGCTGGGATCGTGACAGGTAGTAGGGGACACCAGCTGGAGCTTCCCTACTCACCCTGAGCACGCGGGGAGGGGTCCATGGCGCCAGGGAGGAGGGGCTGGGAACCGGGAAGGCCCACGGGAGGCTGCGGAAGGGGTGTGGCAGCACTGAGTGTGGGTGCCCCCACCCTGGCCCAACTCCTGCCCCTCCCTCCCGTTTTCCCTCTCTCACCTGACTCGGCATCCGCAGGGTGGGCCGGGGGCCCCCTGGGAACCGCGGTGACATGAAGGGCTGGAAGAGGGTGGGCCGGGGTCAGCACCTCCCCCCACCCGCTTACCCCCAAAGCTAGCCGGTTCTTGCTGCGCCCAGGCCCCCAGTCTGGCTTGTCCCCTCCTCCACGCCCAGCCAGCAAAACCGCAGCCCGCTGGCTCCCGGTGAGTGCAGGCGCAGAGGGGAGGGGCGTGCATGGGAGAGGGGGCGGGGCGTCACAGATCCTTACCTGAATGTGAGGCCCCATCATGGGGGTGTTGAGGCTGTGGGGGGGCGGCTGGGAGCCCGGGGGGCCCTAGGAGGACAGAACCAGGTGAGTTGAGAAGAGCGAGGCCACCCGAAGCTCTGTTTCCCAGGGCCCTGCTGACTCTGGCCAGCGGAGATGAAGGGGAGGGGACGCCATAGAAGCGGGAGGGTGAGTCACATACCGGTTTCCAAGACTGGGGGTACCCTCTATGGAAGGGGTCATAGGCGGGACCCGTGGCTCAGAGAGCCACACTCTGCGGATCTAGGTACTCTGGCACACGCACACGCAGCTCAAGGGCGCAGAGACCCCGCCCCCTCCTGCACTGGGGCCCCAGGCCCTGGGGCCCCTCTCTCGCCAGCCCCACCAAGGCCTTCATGCGCATCACCACTGCACCCACAACCCTCCCACCCAACTCCAGCCTGCCTGCTTCAGGGCCTATCCCGACGTGGGACCCCCCCCCCCTTGCCATTGCCCACGACTGTCATCCTCTGACACATGCGCATGCAGAGTCAGGGGACAAAGGGCCTCAGCCCTGGCTATACCTGGAAGAAGCCAGGTGCCATGGGGCCCGCTGCCATTGCATCGTTGGGGGCCATGCTCCCCATCACCGGGCTGGGGGCAGCTGCAGCAGCGCTCTGCAAGGGGGGAGGGGGAGACATGAGGACTGGGTCAGGCCACTTCCTGCTTCAGTGTTGACTCTGCTCTCCACAAGCAGCCTGTCCCACAGAACAGGGGACCCAGGCCATCTGATCCTCTCTCCAGGCATGTAGGATGCCTGGAGGGTCCCTAGGTGACAGAGCAGCTGCTCCTCACCCGTTCCCACCTCCGTTTAACAACCCTGACATGGCCACGAATTCAGATTCACTGGTGGCCTCAGCAGAGGCTCTGCCTCCTTGCTGCACTTGAGACCCAGGAGGTGGTCAGGGCCCAACTGGGCTGAACCTACAACCCAGGAAGAAGGCCCCAGAGCCCCGAGCCTGAGGATTGTGGGGGATCTGAAAATGCCAACCACCCCGGACTGCTGTGCACTCAGCCCTCCAGCACAGGCTGGTTCTTCCCATCTGAATCCAACCTCCTACCGGTGGGGGCACAGTCCTATTTATTGGCAAGGCAGTTTACTTAGCTGGATCCCTAGGCACTACCTAAACACACCCCAAATAAACACAAAAAACAATGGGCAGCTTTAAGATGAACCTCCCTCCCCAGGGCTCCTCCTTGGAGCTCCAGCACAGACCACTCCCCTGCCCCTCCAGGAGGGAGGGGAGAAGAACAGGACTCCTGGGATGTGTCTCCAGGTCCCCAACCTCTTCAAATGGAGGAGGGGAGAAGACCAGGTGCTATAGGAGCGTTCACATGTGGGCCAAGGGCAGAAATGCAGGTGGCAAGCCCCGAGCTGGCAGGGGGCAGGCTACCTCCTCTGGTCCGTTGCAAGTCTCAGGGTTATCAGCCTTGGGGTTCACAGAGCGGGGGGGGGTGAGGGGGACTGGAGGACTAGTCTACAGGGCAGAGGAGACACATCAAAGGATATGGAAGGGCACTGAGTCGAGTCCTTTTCTGGGGGGCTCTCAACTCCTGTCTATCTGCATCACCCGTCCTCTCCCACCAGGAGTCAGGAGATAGTCTGTCCTGGTTACCACTGTCCCTGGGGCTGGCGCAAGCCAGCACACAGGGACGCTCATAATTTCCGGAACTGCAGTCACTCGGGTTCAGAGGGGTTATGCACTTGCCCACTGTCACACAGCACTTCCTGTCCTACAGGAGAGGGGCACAGCCCCCCCCCGCCCCGCCCAGACATGCTCCCTCAGCGGGACTGCAGCCTGGCCCCTTTCCTGCTCCTTCTCAAAGGTCAGCCTCTAAAAGACTCCTACTCAGGTCCCAAGTTGGGGGTACTGGTGGGAACAGTACAGTGGATGAGAATGGCTGACAGCACTCCCAGCACAAGTCATCTGAAAGCTCAAGCAACCCTGGGGGGTGGGAGGACAAAGCTTTCAGCATCCCCTCCCAACTGTGGGGTTCCCCCCTACTTCCACCTCACTGCCTCTCACGAACACACAGCCCCATGTCTTGCAGCAGCTACTCTAGCAGACGCCTGCCTCAGTGGTTTAAAGGGGACACCTCTGGGCCCTGGGAGTCTCCGCCCTCTACTGTCTACTACATAAGAGAGGTCGAGGTTGTGGGGAGCAGCCCCGTTCTAAGCCACAGCAGGCGCCAGAGCGTTTCCTGGTCGGGGAGGGCAAAGGTGGGGGAGGCTGTGCGCCAGGATCTGGACCACGAGGTATGGGGGTGGGGGAAAAGTGGGGCACCCCTCATTCCTGCGGCTCCCCAACTCTAGGCCTTGAAGGGTTAATGCACGGCCGGCTCAACCTCCCTGGCAGGAGGCCCGAGCTGGACCCCCCATGTCAATCATCCACCCAGAGGCGCCCCGCCTGCGTTGCCATAACGACGGGCTGGGAGCGCTGGCGTTTCCTGGAGACGCCGAGGTGACCCAGAGCAGGGAGGGGCGGCCGAAGCCCCCTTGAGCAAGAGCGGCGGCCGCAGGGACCCGTCACCCCGCGCGCCCCCAGACAGCTGTGCCCGCGCCAGCTCCCCATGCGCCCTGCTGCCATGGTAACCGGCGTGCGCCGGGAACCGCGTTCACGCCCACTTGGAGCCTGCGCGCCCCGCCCTCCAGAGAGGCGCAGGAGAGGCCGCCAGACCCGGCGGGGGAACTGCCACAGGGACAGTGAAGAGGCCCACGCGGCGTCACGCACGCGCACAACTCGGCACCCCTGAGCCCCAGTTCTGGCGGGACCGGGACATAGGGACAGCAAATGCACAGTGGAACCTGATGGGGCCAAACAGCGGGGATCCTGGCTCCCATGCACGCGTGTACAACGTGCGTGGGGCGATTTCAGAGATGAGGTGAACCCCCACCTCTTGCGGCTGCACCCTGCCCTGCAGAGGCCTAAGCTCAGGTGCCACTGCAGGGAGAAAGTGGGGGTGGCCAAGCCCTGGGAGGCTGCAGGGGAAGAGGTGAGGGTACCAGCTGAAGGAGAATGGGAACATTGGGAGGAGGGGAACTCGCCTGAAGCTGCACTTCCCCAGAAGCCAGTGGAGCCATTGTTTCCCCCTGGGGCCCACAGCCTGGAAGGGTGTAGGGACAAGTCCTCCCTGCCCTCCACCTCTGAGGGACGGGGGGGTAGTAAAGGCAGGGGGCTGCCATCTGTTCCCCATGACAACAAGATGCCACCGTGCCTCTTATGTCACCCCCACCCTGACCCCCACCCCCGCTCCTCTCCAGACAGGCCTGATGCCCCCCACCCCACTTAACAGGGAGGGAGACTGAGGCCAAAGTGGTGAGTCCGCAGCCCCAGTCACAGAGAAAGGTCAGGAAGTGTCCCAGATGCTGTTAGCCACACCACTATCACCACCACCACCACGCTTCCACCTCAGGAGGCTCAGAAAGGCTGGGGTGGCAGAGGACAGACGGTGGTGGTCAGGAGCTGTGCAGTCTGTCTACCCTGGACCTCAGGCTCATGTGAAGGGAAGGAGGAGGGGCTGGCCTCAGGAAGGTGTGAGGGCTGTGGTGCAGCAGAAATGAGCCTCCCCCACCCTGTGAGTGACCCTGGGCCCAGTGGAGGGCACAGGGACCCCAGTGCCCAGCCCATCTAAGCCTAGGCCATGCAGGACCCTCCAGCCCCCACCTCCCTGCCCATGCCTGTCCCCATCCCCGGGGTGGGACTCACGTAGTCCTGGAAGGCCTTGGCCTCACTTGAGTGCTCACATGCCTCTCTGCGGTCAGGTGCTGCACAGTACAAGTCCCAGAACACGCTGTGGGCAGCAGGGGGGACGATGGTTTCCCCACAAGCCCCCACCTAGCCCCCTCCATGGCCTGCCCACGCCAGCCCCACACGCACCACCACCAGGAATGCAGGAAGCCCGGGGGCTCCCCCAGCGTGATGTTCTTCTCCCATCGGATCTGCAGAGGAGAGGGAAGGCAGGTAAGGGGCCGCTGCCCGCCCAACCCAGCCCCACCTCAGGCAGGGAACACAGGGCAGGGAACCAGTGGACCGGAGCAAGGGAGCCAAGAGGGGGCAGCCAAATGACTACACAGGGGGCAGAGATGCAGGTGTCAGATCCTCAGATGGATGGACAGACGCCTGTATGCCAGCCACTGGCCCTGACCCATCCCAGCCCTCAGTTACCAGAGCTGGCCAGAAGGGCCATCTACCACTGGAGCCCCGACAGAAACTGAGAGGAGAGGACCCTGGGTGTGGGTAGAGGCCAGACCAGCTTACCTCGGACAGAAAGGTCTGGGCTGACTTCTGGGCACCAACGTGCAGCAGGTACTCATACACGTACAGCGCCAACCTAAAGATGGGACAGGATTCGCTCAGGCTCTCAGGAGGCCTGGAATCAAGTCAGCCTTGAACCCCTCCAATGCTTCCTTGGAGGGGTTCTCAAGCCAGGCACCTGCCTTCTTGTGGGCAGGTAGAAAAGGGGCAGAGGGCCCACAGTGAGCCCTCATCTCACCAACCCCCAGCCTTACTCACTGCTGCCCCACTGGTCCCCCAACCCTACCCCACCCCCATCTCCTCCACCTCTCACAGGAGATGGTCTCCTCACCAGTTGCTCAGCCTGGCCAACTCCTACACATCCATCAACACCCAGCCTGTAGGCCCCTCCTCTAGGCAACAATGCCAGCAGTCCCTGACCCCCCCACTTCCAGGCCAAATTCTGGTCGGTTCAACAACCCCTCATGGACCAAGTCCTAGGCCCATCCTGCTGATACCAAAACCCCAGAGCAGCTTTGGCCCCAGGGATGCCTTCTGCTGGGAGAAAGGGCTCCTGGGCATCACTCTGGACTGTGTGCTGCATGGGGTCTCCCAGAAGGCACCCTGAGCCATGTGCCCAGGGCAGGCACCTCACTCACTCCCAGGCTTGTCTGCTGAGGAAGGCTGGGTGTTAATGGATGTGTAGGAGTTGGCCAGGCTGAGCAACTGGTGAGGTAAAGGAATGGATGTGAATAGCCCAAGCCTGCTCACCGCCCCACCTTCTGGGCAAAGACAGAGGCTTAGAAGGATACAGCCAGGCCCCTGCCCACTTTGGGGTCAGTGCAGGGAGCAGGAAAGGCTGGGGGATGAGACACTTGAAGAAGGAGCAAGATGAAGTGGGGGGTCCAGAATGGGGGTAGGGCATGGGCTGTATGCTGGCTGCCCTCCCCCCCCCCTCCCCAGGGACAAAAGTCTCTCCTCAGGACTCGCTGAGCCCCCTGAAGTGTCTCTTGGTCCCACCATGTCCACCAAGGGCTCCATGCCGCAGGCCACAGGGTCCTTTTCTCCATCTGCCCTGTCTCTGGACTATTCTGTGGTGGTATCTGACCCAGGACACAGGTCCTCCCTCCCACTATGATGACATCTACATGTAGCTGCCCACATGGTGCCCCACCCTGACCTCCCATAACTCTAACTCAGGGTCCACAGTCTACCTGGCACCTAAAGGCTCAGCCTGGATATGCCCCCACCCCAGCTCCCTCCTCCTCCCACCCTCCCTGTGTGGTCCAACCTGGGTGGTCTGGCCTTGACTCACAGAAGTGTGGTGCATGCTGTCCCCAAGATCACTGCACTTATTGAATTTAGGGTAAAACCTTAAGGAAGAAGTTCTCTTTCCTGCCATCTCCATCACACACCTGGTCCAGGCCACTGCCTCTCTTACCTGGATTTTGATAGGGCCCCCCTCCAATGGCCGCTCTCTCCCAGCCCCTAGAGTCTACACACACACACCCCCCACAGCACTTCTCACTCAGTGCCCCAACACACACACACACACACTGGCCACCCTGCACCCCAAGCCCTTTGCACAGGTTGTTCCCACATCTGGGGCACTACCACCTAAAGATTTGAGTGGCTCCAGTGTCACCTGTCAGAGGCCTTTTTGTCACATCTAACCCCTTCCCTGATGATGATCTTATTTTATCCCCACCTGACTCAGTCTGCTCACTGACTGCAGCGCCCACTGGAATGTACCGTATTTCCCCATGTATAAGACACACCCTTTTTTGAAAAATTTGGGGTCTAAAAGCTGTCTTATACAGTGGTTGTAGTTTTTTTACTTAGAGAGGGAACTGAAGATATGGATCGAAGAGCAAAGGGCAATTGGGTGATTCGTCATCAGACACAGATAAGGACAAGCTAATGGTTGGGAGTTTTGACAGTGATGAGGAGTTGTATGAATTTTATGATGAATAAAACTTGAGTTCAATAACTTTATGTAATACATTTTTTTTTTCAAATTTCGGGCCCCAAAATTAAGGTGCATCTTATACATGGGAGAATACAGTAGCTAGGAGGATAGGGACTTGGTCTTTCCCTCCCTGCTGAGGTCACAAGAGCACCCTGGGCTCCAGCACAGGACCCCTGCATGAGATATCCAAAGGACTAACTGAGGTGAGCACTGATAAAGGTCAGCGCTTACTGTTTTGATGTTAAGGATTTGGGGGTTTTATCACAAGAGCTAAGAGAAGCCAGAGAAGGCTCTTGGTGTTGCTGACTTTTCTTACATGTTAGTACTTTAATTTTTAGCAGGAAAGAGTCTCAGGGAGGAATTCTGGGTTGTTTTAGGTAAAAAGTTTTGAAGCTGGGATTTGTGTGTGTGTGTGTGTGTGTGTGTGTGTGTGTGTGTGTGTGTGTTTTAAGCTGAGCCATCCTGCCACCTGTTGGCATCTCAGCTCGGGCCGGGAATCGAACTGGCAACCCTGTGGCCAAGAGCTCGCACTCTTGAACAAACTCTTAACCAACTGAGCCACTCAGCCAGCCCCAAAGCTGGGATGTTTTGCCAGGTTGTTTTAGGACCTCCAGGGAGGGCTTCCGGCCTGGGGATCACCATCCAGGCTCTGAGTTTGGTTACAGGGAAGGGCTGGACTCTGGATCCAAATCCCAGTGTTAACAAATGACCTGCAGGCGCCACCAAGTGGCGCGTTGGTTAAGAACTGGCTTGGGACGGCCAGAGGGCCCCAGTTCGGATCCCACATATGAGGACCAGTGACACTGCCCTCTACAGCTAAGATGATGAACAACAGCTCGACCTGGAGCTGGGTTGCTGTGAGTTGCCGGCGATGGTATAGGCTGCAGCCCCTGCTGCAGTGGGCTGCCATAGCTACCGTGAGTGGCCAGCAGCCAGTGTGAGCTGCCAAGAGCCGCTGTGAGTGGCTGTCCGGTGGCCGGCGACTGATCTGCCTCAGCCGGGAAGAGCGCTATGATAATAGCAACATGGGCCAGTGAAGCAACGTCCTCCACAACTAAACTGAAGAACAAAAGGACAGCAACTAATCTGTTCCCCTCCCCTCAATTCCCCCCCACAAAAAAAATCTAACAAAAAATAAATGACCTGCAGGACCAAGAGCCTGCCCATGGGACGGGCTCCTGCTGCCAGAGGATAGATGGGTGGCAAGGAACATGGGGCAGCCCCAGGGAGGTCCTCCCTCTAAAAGAAACAGTGAACTGGGGGATTGGGGTGCCCAGCCTGGGAGTGCTTACAAGGAGAAGTGCACATGGGCTATGCAGGTAAGTGGTAACATAATGGAGTGTTAAAGCCTCATGAACTAAAATGCAGCACTACCACAGTAATTATCAAGAATTACCATAATTTTCAGGAATTATAGTAAGGGATGCTCCCTGCCTGGTGCCCTCCAACCCCTTAAAGGCCCTGGATGCACATGCTGCTGGGGGTAGGGAGAGGCCCTCTAATCACAGCCTTGTGTCACCACGACCCCACCGGGTCTAAACCACCAACCAGGTCCCACTGATGCCCCCAAAGGACTCTCCAGCACATACATTTCCTCCTTCCCCTCTGCCACCCTCAAGGCCGGGCCTTCAGCAAATCTCTTTCTAAGGTGATGGCCACCCTCCTTATCAGCCACCTGGCAGCCTCGGCTGCTTACAGCTTTTCTCCTACCCAGTGGCCACTGAAAACCCCCCACTCATAAATTCCACCTCAGCCTTCCCCCTCCTCCAATTCTCTCCCCAGAAGCTTCCTCTTCTCAAGCCCTTCCCCAAAGGGTCCCGTGTCTACTGGTTCTGCTCAGCCTCCAGGACTTAGCTCAGAGGTTCCTTCCTCAAGAACCTCTTACCCGTGCCCCCCCCACCCCCAACAAGGATGCCCATGGCCACACCTGGAAGCAGGACAGACACATGGTGACCCTCATCTGCTGAGCTATCTGCTGTCTCAAAACCAATCCCAGGAGAAAAACACTAGATGCCCAGTAACACTGACCATGGTTGTCATTTATGGAACTATTCTAAACCCACTTGGCAGCATTTAGTGCTCAAGTGTATACATACATGCTGCAGACATTTAGACCTCTCCCTCCAATTCACAAAGGCAGAGCCTCTGGAGCCTAAAAAGGGAGCGATGCTAACGGAACTCCAATTGTCCCTGTCACCTTTATCCCTAATTGACCCCAAACGAACTAGCAAATGCAAGAACTAGTTAGTTCTGGGAGGCAGTCACTCACAGGCTCTCCAAAGGCTCGAGTGTTTACATATTACAGAAGAGGCTATATTTTGCTGCAGGTAGCTCACTGGGACCCCAGCCTCCCTCTCACCCTCTAGATTTTGTTATGCACCCCTGAGGGCAGGCACCTGCCATCAGCTACCCAGCAGGTGCTCATCTGTTTCTGGGGCAGTCTGGCCCAGACCCCATGTTGAGATGGGGAGCCAAAGGGGCTCAGAAGGAAGGAGAGGAAAACACAGTCCTGGAGAGCCGAGGACCTAAGCAGTGCAACCCCTTAACCCCATTTCAGAGGAAACCAAGGCCCAGAGACAGGAAGTGGCACTGTTGGTGGCTGTGTGCTCCAGGAGCTCCGCCTGCAGCTTCTTACCCAGCCAGTCCTTGTGAGAATCCTGCAAGGGCAGCAGGCTACATTTCAGATGGGGAAACTGAGACTCAGAGCAGCCAGCCAGCCACTCTAGTGCTCTCCGTGCTCAGAACCGGTGAGCTTGGTAGGTCACTTCCTCTCCAGGCCCAGGCATCCCCTTTGGTGAAATGGGGGATGCAACTATCTGGTATTTTCCAAACTTTCTTTAGCAGCAGAATCCCATCTCCAAATCAATGCTCATCCAGGACTCTCTACAGGAAACGGATGAGTACATGATGAGTACACGAAAGGGGACAGACAGGAAAACAAGAGACATGATGGCATCTCCAGCCTCCACAGGTGGGGGGGAGGGCAGGGGGATTCTGCAGACTCCCCCACCTCTGAGATCCTCTGCTGGGCATGGTTAGGGAGTGAGGGGATGATGGGGAAAAGGGGCCAGGCTTCAAATAACCCCCTCTCCAGACCTGGCCAAGAGGAGAGGCCAGGTTCAAAGACCCAAATCTCTCATGGGATGTCTGACAGGATCAAAATGCCAACTCCCAACCCCACCACCTGCAGCTCAAACCTCTGATTCTCTTCTCTGACCTCCATACCTAAGCTGCCATCATCAGATCTCACCCAGATCATTGTGCCTGCCTCCCCCAGGTCCTCGTCCTCTACTCCCAACCCCCTTATAAGCCCCACTCCACAGAGGAGCCAGAGTGCACTTTCACACATACAAGCCTCTCTGGTCCACATGGTGCCCTGGTTGGTTGCTCTTCCCCCACCCAGGGCAACTGCCCCAGCTCCTTTGCCAGGCCTCACCCCAGGGCCTTTGTACTTGCTGTGCCCTCAGCCGCCTACTCTTCCTCAACGTCTCTGCACACCTGACAACCCCCTCATACTTCACAATCACCCACTTTCCCATTTTGCTTTCTTCACAGAATATCTTGAGATCATCCCTCAGCTTGGCCTTCCATCAGTTTGCCCAAGTAACTTGACACCTGCCTCCCTGTTAGGATGTGGGATTCTTCAGGGCCCAGACCTGCCTCCCCGACCACCACCCCACCCCAGACTCAGACCAGGACACATCTGCTGAACATGTGAACTATTCCCACTGTGAGTGAGTGGTTGCCCCCAGACCCAGAAACCAGTGTAAGAGGATGGCTGGGGATATGCCAGGATCCCCAAGGGTGGGGTGGCTACGCCAGACACCCTGATTCCAACCTAGGCAGGAGCCAGGTGTCATTTCAAAAAGTCTTCATGCTTAAGGGTGCTTGGAATTGGAGCCCAACCTCATAACAGATGGACAAGGGAGGCCTAAAGGGAAGTTATCTGCCTAACATCTTCTAACCAGAAGGATCTCTTCTCCAAAATGACCCCAAAGCCAGGTAGAGAACGGACCCTTGTCCTTGAGAACAGGAGGGAGATCCCATTGTCAGACCAGGCAGAAGAGGCAGCACAGGAGAAGGGTCCCACATCCAGGGCTCCTCTTTACTGCCCAGACGTGCAAGTCTTCAATCCTGGCCTGGCCCTCAAGGAGCATCATCATGGGACTCCTCCAGAACAACCCAACCACCTCTCTGTTCGGGCGGCCTCTTTCCCAAGGCCACTCTAGGCAGCTGGACTCCTTAGGATCCTGGAAATTGGCCATTAGCCATCAGCCATCGAAAGTCTTCCCTCCTGCACGCCCCTTTCTCTGGCACTTTAACAATACTGCAAGCCATTGGGTGCCCTTGCTGTGGGAATGTCACAGCTTCCAGCACCTTTCAAATCCTCCCAATCCTAAGAGATAACACTGTTATTACCTTTGCATTTCTCAGGAAAGTGAGTCTAGGCGAGGGGCACTCCCTCAGCTGAAGCCACTGAGCAGGTAAGTGGCACTGCCAACTTCATAATGCCTCCCCACTCCAGACGGAGTTTCCACTTCTGAGGGCACCCAGCCTCAACCAGTAGGGTCTGGGTGTTAGGTACCTGTCTGCCTACCAACCTAAGAGCACCTAGTACCCAAGGCCCAGCATGGCACCCTGAATAAGAAGGAGACCTTCTGGGCTCCGCCCCAGGACTGAGCCCTGTGGCCTCCTCAAGGGCCCCACCCAGCTGCCCAGCAGACAAGTGGCCACACGGGGCTGGGGCTGGCACCCCTCAGGTCCTCCTCTTCTCTCTCAGGCTCTTTCTGAGTGGAGAAGGGTCCTGAGAGTCCAGTCTCACCCGTCCCCGGAAACTCCACTGGAGGATCCGGGAAGCGGTGGGGATCTCAACCCCGCGCGCCCACGCATGCAACCTTATTCACCCAAGTCTCCACCGGCTGTCGAGGAGGTCTTGCAACCCTGGAGTCCCACTGGAATCTCATGCGCCCCCTCAAATCTCGCGCCCTCGAGTCCCGCGCATCTTCGCAAATCTCCTGACCCCTCGAGCCTCTTACAAGTATCGCGCACCCCCTCAAATCTCGCGCCCCTTCAACTCTACGACCTCTAGGGTATCGCGCGCCCCCTCAAACCTCACAACTACTTGCGCCCCTCACGCCTCCGAGTCTTGCGCGCCCCCTCAAATCTCGCGCCCCCTTAAGCCCCTTACACCCCTTGGGTCTAGCGCGCTCCCACAGATCTCGCCACCCCTCGAGTCCCTCGGGTCTCGCGCGTCCCCGCAAATCTCGCTCCCTTTGGGTCTCGCGCGCCCCCGCAAGTCTCGCGACCCTTTAAGCCTCTTATGCCCCTTGGGTCTAGCGCGCTCCCAGATCTCACGACCCTTTGAACCCCTCCGGACTCGAGCGCCCCCGCAAATCTCGCGGCCCTTCGAGCGTGCTCCGTCCCCGCACACCCGGCACCCCGCGCCCACGTGCCCCGGGAGGTGCCCGCCGGCGCCGAGCCCCGCCCCCAGCCCCCGACTCACTTCTCGCGGGCCTGGCTGTCGGAGGGCACGGCCGAGCCCTTGCCCCCCTTGGCGTACATGCTGCTCAAAGCTGCCGCCGCCGGGGCCCACACCTGTCAGGCGGCGCTACTGGCCGCGCTCGCCGTAGCCATAGCTACCCTGCGCCCCGGGCCTCACTGCCCCGAGCCCCGCGCCGGCACCGCGGGCATCATCCGCGCGGGGGAGCTCCACACGGCGGCGGCGGGGGCGGCGGCAGCTCCAGGTTCAGCCGCGGGTTTATTTTCTTCCTCTCTTCTGCGCGGGCTGTTCCGGGAAGCGCGCGCCCCCTCCTCCCGCCGCGCGCGCCCCCGCCCGCCGCCTCCCCTCCGCCGGCGGGCGCCGCTCTTAAAGGGGCGATGGCGAGCGCGCGGGTGGGTCCAGCCTTCGGGACCGTGGGCCGGTCGCGCACGCGCAGTGCCCCCCTGAGGGGTTCGGCTACACACACGTAGAGCACTAGTGGGGACGGCCACCAGGGACGCATAGCAGGAGACGGCTGATCACGGCTATACACAAGCCCCAGATAGGACCAGCCACCCAAATTGCACACCCGGGGACACAGCCACACACTTGGTTGCAGCTACACTCTCAGACTCAGGACACAAGCAAGTCGCACAGATCCTGGAACAACTACTGGTTGTCCATAAAGCTACAGGAAGTCACACTGGGTGTATCATCCCGCAGAGCTTCCCACACCCAGCTTGCCTATGGACACGCTGTCACACACACAGCCCCAATAGTAGCTGTAACAATAGCGAAGCACAATCCACCACTCACACACAAAGATGCACAGAGACACGCGTAGACACAGCCTTGCCACGGCTTCCAACGCCTGGGAAAGAGCCCACGCAGCTACCCTGGAGTACTCCCGTTACAGCCTCCCAAGGGCTCTGTCTCAGACCTGGGGTTTCACGTAGCCTGTGGACATCCACAGCCACACACACCACACAGCCACACAACACAAAAGATACCACACAGACAAGCTCCTGGGGTGCCCAGGCCAAACCTTGGGAGCCACCCTGTACTGCTTCACAGTCCACCCTGTGCCAACAGTAGGTGCCGGGTGACTATTGACTGACCGGGTCACTCCAGCTGGCTTCGCCTCAGTGTTGCCAGTTGTAAATGGGGAGTGTCCAGCCTTTAATTGCCCTTCTTCAGGAGTCAAGGGTGCAGACAATGGGTACCCCATTCCCCCATCTGAGTCCTTTCTTCCCCCAGGGGGTGTGCAGAGGTGGTGTGGGCGAACATAGACAAGGACACCACAGGGCAGGAGTGCCTGGGCCTGAAGGAGGCCTGTTTGCCAGGGTACTTGTGGGCCATGTTAGCAGATGTGTGTGGGCTGGGCGGAACGTGATCCAGCAGTTGTGACGCTAGGTCTGGATTGTTTCTATAAGTGTTTGCCATGGGTATTCTTTTTTATCCTATGCAACAACCGTGTGTGTGTGTGTGTGTGTGTGTGTGTGTGTGTTCCTGTGTGAGTGCACGTCTGCCACGTTGTGCCTGGGGGTTTATTTAGCAGGCACCCAGCAAATGGTCACTGTCCGGGCAACTGTCCCTGGCTCTGCGGCAGTGTTGTGTGTCCGCGGAGGTTGTACGGGGCCGAGTGACACAGCATTAGGTTGTGTGCACACGTGTATGTGCGTGTGCCTCCGCGCGTGGGTGGATTGGGACCTGTGTTGTGTGGTTGTGCACTCAGGCTTCCTGTGACGTGTGTGTGTGTGTGTGTGTGTGTGTGTCTTGATGCGACACCTTCTTCCGCTGTCGGCGAACCCCCCATTATGCCTTCCTCTTAGAGGCAGCCCCCCAGTACGGGATTCCCCCACACACACTCAGGCCTGCAGGCAGGCGGAAAGTCGGGAGTCGCTGGGGTTCCAGACAGGCGAGGAGGAAGGGAAGGGCCAGGCCGGCCCCAGCTCCGCCTCCATCCCGAGGGGCCCCAACCGGGGGGGGGGGGCGGGGGGGGACGGGACGCCAGCCCTACCCACTTCCTGTCCAGCCGGCCGTCCCCTCCCCCAGCTTCCTCTCCCGCGGGCCTCCAGGCCCCGCGGGCGAGAAAAAGGAGCCCGCGCAGTGCACTAATAGGGGCGCGGCCGACTCTGTTCCGTCAGGCCAAGAGCTGGGGACTGTCCAGCGCCCGGGGGTCCACCGGGGAACGTGGGCGTCAAGGATATCCTCATCCTAATGCCTGCTCCCACCGCCGATCGCCAGCGCCTACTCCCAACGAGGCACAGAGAGGGTGTTGCTCAAGTCATACAGCCTATTTCTGACAGCTGGAACTCCAAGGCCCAGCAGACGCTCCCCCTTTCGTTTATCTCCTAACGCTCCGTGGCTCCCCAGGATTCTGTGTGCCCTGGGCAGGTCCCTCGCCCTTTCTGAGTCTCGGTTCCTTGAGTCGATGTTTGTCTCCCACCCCACAAACATTTATTGAGTGCATGCTGTGTGCTGGGCTCTCTGGGGACTAAGCCGGGACACGTTGCTACTGCTTGTGAAGCAGAGGATCTGATGGGGGAAAGAAGACCGTCAAAAGCTGGCGAGTTAGTAGGATAATGTCACGGAGAGCCACATGCTGGGCAGAGGGAGGGGTCCCCGGTGGAGGGGACAGGGAAACGGCAGGGTCCGCCGGGCTCCCGCGGTCCTGCGAGCTGCAGAGGGGCAGGCGCAGCAGGCGCAGCAGGCGTTACGAGCGCGGTTCTCATGGCAACCGGGACGGATCTCCAAACACAGCCTCGGCGCCGGCGGAAAAGTCCTAGAAAGGCGGGTTTTGGGTCCCACGCAGCGTCTGGAAAGCTGAGCCGCGCGAACTTCCAACCAAGGCGCATGTATTGCACGAGCAGAACCCACAAAAAGAGGCCTCCCACCCATGCGAAGGAGGGGCATGGGGGGAAAGGAACATTTTTTTAATAAGGGGAGGGGTGGATCCGAAAGATCTGGAAGCAGAATGTTCAGACTGCAGTCACAGCAAGTTCAAAGGCCTTGAAGTGGGCACATGGTTCAGGTGTTGGAGGAAGAACGTGGAGGGTGGTGTAGCTAGAGCAGGGGAAAGAGGTGGGAAATGATGGCTGGAAGGGCAGAGGAGCCCGACCACTCCCGAAGGGGACGGGTTAGGGTTTGTTCTAAAAGCAATAGGGAGCCAGGGGAAGCTGTGTGGCCCCAAGGGGCGGGATCTGCGTCAGGATTTTAAGAAGCTCCATGGGGCTGCCGCATAGATTGGGAAGATGTGGAGGAGACAGGAAGGTCGTCCACCCGGGAAGCGGCCCAGTAGACAGACATAGGCCATGGGCCAGTTTAGGGGCCTGGGCGGGGTTCTTAAGCGAGGAGAGTGAAGGGTCAAGGCTGGATCCCAGACCTGTGAACCCTTCGTTGGTTCCCGACCACTGCCCTGTGGCTGTGCGAAGCTGGGTCTCTTAGGACCACCAACGACCTCCTCAAACCTCACCCCACTGGGTCGGGGAACCATGCCTGGGGTAGCCCAAAGCAGGCTCTATTTGTGGAGCAGGGAGACTGCCCGGAAGAGGGGCTGTCCCTCCCCTTACTCTCAGACCCACCCTTCAGGGGTCCACCTCCTGGCCTTTGCACTGGCTGCTCCGGCCACCTGGAGAGCTCTTTTTCTGGCTCCAGACCTGACCTAATCTGGCTCCTCCTTCCTGTTTGGCCCAACAGTTCCTCTTTCCCCACCCCCTTTTCTTTCCTCCTAGCGTTCCCTGGCCACATCCACCAGATTCCCGGTTCTGCACTAGCCTGGGTGAGATTTGTCACTGTTATGATAAAATAATGCAGCAAGTAATCTGTTGGCAGCTCTGCCTCCCCTTGGATGGGCCGTTCCTGCGGATACAGCGGTGGGCCCGAGAATATGTTGCAAGAGTCTTTGGGAAGACTGGTTTGGGTTTTCCTGACAATATTTTCCTCTCCACAGGAGGTAGAAGTAGCCCCCCTCATCATTAAAGTGGGGAACTTTGGAAGGGGTCAGGATCTGGGCTAGGGGCTCCTGCAGCCCTTCTCAGCCATTGCGCTGGAGGGGGCCACAGCTGGGAGCAGGGTCTGCGCCATGAGACATTTCCTCTCAGAGCTGTAATTACGGGTAGTTTTCTAACTGCAACACAAAAATTAAGCCCCAAATAACATAGAAGTGGAGAAGCCATAGCAGCTGGTAAGCACAGGGGTGGGCTGGGGCGCTGGGTGGGAGTTCCAGCCCAGAAGGGGTGATAGCAGGGTCCCCAGCCCTCGGGGGCTGCTGGGGGTGGTTGGGGGGAGAAGGACAGCCTGAGGGTCATTCAGATAGCATGGACTCCTTGGAGAGCCAGCAACCACTTGGAGCCTCAGTATTCTGAAATGGGGATTATACCCCAAAACTGGTCACCTGGAAGCAGAAGTCCCAGATGGAGGATCTAGGGCTGGATTTGAACCCTGGCTGCGCCTGTCCTGCTGTGTGGCCTTGAGCAGGAGCTGACTGAACCTCAGCCCAGCCCAACCTACAGGTCCCCTGCCCCCTGTCCATTCTCCACAAAGCTTAACCTCAGCCAGTACACTGTCCTGCCTCCAGCACTTTCCATGACCCCCTCTGCCATGCACTTCAACTCCAGAATCAAACTAATCATTAGGAGTCTATGTACCTAGCACCTCATGAGAAAGACAGCATTTTTTCTCCCCATGTTACAAATGGGGAAACTGAGGCTCAGAGAGGCACGAAGGGAGTTATGTGGGTGACCCAGAAGTAGCACCCTAGTCACCAAAGTACCCTTAGTGTCCTGCCTGGGTCTGGGACACTTACCCTGGGAAATTTGAGGCACTTTGTGGGAACCTCAGGCCTGGGGAGAGGGTCAGGGAAGGAAGGAATGGAGGTGGGGGAGTCTATAGTAGCTGCAGAGAAAGTTCTGCAGATAAAACAGAGGTCAGGGGCCGGCCGAGTGGTTAAGAACTGGCTTGGGACGCCAGAGGGCCCGGGTTCGGCTTCCACATATGAGGGCCAGTGACACTGCCCTCTACAGCTAAGATGCTGAACAACAGCTCAACCTGGAGCTTGGTTGCCGTGAGTCACCGGCACCGGTGTAGGCTGCAGCCCCTGCTGCAGTGGGTTGCCATGGGCTACCGTGTGTAGCCAGCATCCAGTGTGAGTGGCCCTCAAGCCGCCAAGAGTGGCTGTCCAGAAGCCGGCGACCGATCTGCCTCACCTGGGAAGAGCGTAATGATGGTGCCAACTTGGGCCAGTGAAGCAACGTCCTCCACAACTAGACTGAAGAACAAAAGGACGGCAACTTGTCTGTTCCCCTTCCCCCAATTTCCCAATAAAAATCTTTAAAAAAAACAGAGGTCAGAACGGGAAAGCAACTTGCCCCAGAACACATAGCAAAGAGTGGAGGCACCAGGTCCCACTTTGGGGCGC